TCCTTATAATCCATGATTCAAAAGGGAGAGAAAACTTCCTTTTCCCGGGTCCACAAATCAAATCCTAGAAAGGGGCTCTGGTCTTCCAGGGTCACCTGCCGTTGCATTGGACCAGTCCCTGTGGAAAAGGGGATGTGGGCCTGTGATCTTGGCCAGGCCTGGGTTACATGCGCTGTCATTGTTAACTCCTGTCAGAATCACATGGATTAGTGGGCCAAATCCCTAAAGGAAAGGGGTTTAGAGCAAGTGGAAACAACAGATACCCACTATAGAAAGCAAGAATGAAAACCATGAAGCAGGTGAAGATTAGCCTTACAGTGATTTTATTCTGATCACTTTAGAGTCAAACAGGAATCCAAGTTTCCAACTTTTTGGCACTGAAGAATCACAAAGAACCCTAGCTGCTTTATACCTCCATGGTTCACTGGAGTTAAAGCAATCAGGGTGTTGTACAGCTGACTTGAGTTTTTAAAGGTTTTACTAAAAAGAGAATTCCACACCCGCATGGCTCATGGTTGCAGAATATCACAAAGGTCTGTTGTGTGTACTCCTTTTCACTGGGAAAGGAACAGTAATGATTTTTCCCACTGTATACATATTCAAGTGATATAACTTTTTATTAATAAGAAACTCTAAAATATAGATTATAAAGCTCTGTCATCTTTGTTGTTTAGTAACAGGTTTATTGAGCTTTACTTGGAGAAATACACATACCATGAAATTCACCCTGAAACTTACCAATTCAGTGGTTTTTATTACATCTCCAGAGTTGTGCAACCATCATCACTAATTCCAGAACATTTGCATCACTCCAGAGAGCAACCTGTACCCATTAGCAGTCACTTCTCTTCCCCTTCAGCCTCTAAAAGCCACTAATACACTTTTTATATAATACGTAGCCTTTTGTGACTGGCTGCTTTCACTTACCGTAATGTTTTCAAGGCTCATCCACATTTAGAATTTACCTGTGCTTCATTACCTTTTATTTGTGAATAATACTCCATAGTATAGATGTACCACATTTACCCACTCATCAGTTGGCAGACTTTGATGTGTTTCTACTTTTGGGCTGTTAGGACTAATGGTATGAACAATGGTGAACAAAAATTTTGCATGGACATACGTTTCCTTAAGAGTGGAATTACAGGGTCATATAATTCAAACTTTTTTTTTGAGACAGGGTCTCTGCTGTCGCCCGGAGTGCAGTAGCATGATCACAGCTCTCTGGAACCTCACCTCCCAGGCTCCTCCTACCTCAGCCTACTGAGTAGCTGGGACCACAGTTGTATCCCACCACACCCAGCTAATTGTTTTGTCCCCATATTGCCCAGGCTGGTCTCAAACTCCTGGGCTCAGGTGATCCTCACACCTCGGTCTCCCAAAGAGCTGGGATTACAGGTGTGGGCCACTGTTCCCAGCCCAACTTGAACATTTTGATGAACTGCCAAAGTTTTCCACTATAGCTGTACCATTTTGCATTTCTACCAGCAATCTTTGAGGGTTCCAGTTTCTCCACATCACCAGCAGTTATTGTTCATCTGCTTGATTACAGGCATGGCTAATGATGTTTGAGCATGTTTTCATGTGCTTATTGGCCATTTGTATGTCTTTGGAGAAATGTCTATTCAAGTCCTTAGTCCAGTTTCCAGTTTGGTTCTTTTTACTGTTGTAACAGTTCTTCATGTGTTGTAGATACAAGTCAACTAAAGATAAGTGATTCACAAATTCTCCCAAATTGGGGTTTGTCTTCTCACTTTCTTGATGGTATCCTTTTAAGTATAATTTCTAATTTTGGCTAATTACAATTTATTTTTATCTTTTGCTACATCTAAGAAACTACTGCCTAATCTCAGCTTTATTTTATCTTCATTCAAAAGTTTTATAGTTTTACCTCTTACATGTAAGTCTGTGATTCATTTTAAAAGTAATTTTTCATGACTTTATTTACAATATTTTTAAAATTTTAATTGTGGTAAAGTACATACAAAATTTACTGTCTTAACCATTTTAGTTTGCATTCACAATTATGCAACCAATCTCCAGAACTCCCCTTTACCCCCAGAACCCCTCCACCTCGTTACCCTGACAGTCACCACTCTGTTTTGTGTCTCTATGAAATTTATTACCATAAGTAAGTGTTGTCTTTAACTGGCATATTTCATTTAGCACATGTCCTCAAGGTTCATCGATGTTGTAGTATGTATCAAAATGTCCTTCCTTTTTAAGGCCAAATAACATTCAATTGTACATATACAGCACACTTTGTTTATCTGTTCATCTGTCCGTGGACACTTGGGTTGCTTGTACCTTTGGGTAACTGTAAATAATGCTGCTGTGAACATGGGTGTACAGATATCTCTGAGACCCTGCTTTCAGTTCTTGTGGGTATATACCCACAAGTGGAATTGCTGGATCACACAGTTATTCTGTGTTTTTGAGTATCGGTCATACGGTTTTCCACAGCAGCCTAAGTCTACAGTAACAGCACACAAGGATTTCAATTTTTCCACATTCTTGCCTATAGTTGTTATTTTCTGGTTTTCTGTTTGTTTCAAATAGTGGCCATTCAAGTAAGTGTGAAGTATCTCATTGTGATTTTATTTTGCATCTTCCGAAGGATTAGTGATGTTAAACATAATTTCATGTACTTGTTGGCTATCTGTGTATCTCTTCGGAGAGACGTCTCAAGTCATTTTGAATGAGTAAAATCATTCGAATGGGTTAAATCAATTTCAGTCCCTTAAAATGGTTAAGGTGGTAGATGGGTATTAAAAAATAGGTTGTTTGCTCTTTTGTTGTTGAACTGAAGTTACCCGTATATTCTAGACGTTAACCTCTTAAATACATGATCTGCAAATACTTTCTCCCATTCTGCAGGCTGCCTTTTCATGTTGTTGTTGTTGACTGGGCAGAGAATGGTAAAGGCCCCACCAGCTCTCCCTATTTAAAAGTCACCATTTGGCCACTAGGCAAATTGTAGACTGGTCCTGGGGCTGATGTCCACTGTGCTGGTTGGTACCCATACCCACGGTTAGTGTTGGCAAGGCATCAGGAGGTCAGTTGCAGCCAGGGCCCCTATTGGGAGCAGAAATCTGCTAAACACGTTTCCATCTCTACAACCCACCTCTCTCTCTGCCAGAGACTGAGCTGCTGGTGCTCACAGGAATGAAAGATCTTTTTGGTCAGCATACACCTCTCAGAAAGGGATGCTAGTCTGCTTTTTTTCCTGTCTCCCTGATTTCAAATACTGGATTTTATCCACTGTAAATTCAATTACTTCCTATTTTTGAAAATACTTAAAGAGTCTCTGAGAAAAGAGTACTTTAAAAAGTGTAAAACCATCAGGGATCTGAATAAGCCAGCTCTGCCCCTTTTTGGAGGCCCTCATGGGTAGCCTGGGGCCAGGTCAGGCAGCCTGAGCTGTTTCCTGCCGCTCACTTCTCTCCAACCTGCCTTGACCCCCTTGGTTCTATCATCACTGCCATCCCTGCAGGCTCCACAAGGAACTTGTGCTTCTGGGCTGGGGTTCTGTGCACAGCACAGCAGTGCCCGCTCTACAACTTATGGAAAACCAGCTCTTAAGAGGGCTTGTATAGGAGGACATTTTGGGGGAAAGGGGACAAGAAAAAGAGTTTGTCTATCTCCAATTGCAGAGTTCTGTGAGGGTCTGCCTGCCAGAAGGAAGTGCTGGTCTTGGAAGAGCCATCCCAGGAACATGATGGGACACGAGGCCAGTTCCTTCTGTCCATGTGTTCCCAACACCCCTACACACAGAAGAGCTCTTCTCCCCCAGGCCTGAGAAAAGAGAAATGCTGGCAGTCCTTTAGAGTGACCAGAGGTCACACTGCCTGCTCAGAGAGATCCATTGCTCATTACCACAACATGAACAACACTCGATGCTGCTGAGGATACTGTGCGAAGCCTCTATTCAAAAATGGTGCCAACCTGCTGTGTGATGTTGGTAAAGAATAGAGGAAGGTTACCCAGTAGAACAACTACAATGAAGTAATGTCCCCCCACCAGCTAATCATTTCTGTTCTCTAAAAAATCACAAATCGAGAAGCTCTAACCCCCAACCCCTCTTACCTTCCTCCAGTGCAAAGCCTCTCTGAGACAACTCCCCTAGATCTAGGCAGCCAGATGGTGCCAAGTCATCTACTAAGCAGAGGCTCAACAGGAAACCAAAGCGCAGTGCCCAACTGTACAGAGGGAGGGCGGGAAGAAGCTCACGGTGGCTGATGTCTGGGCGTCCTGACATGTCTTCTCCTTGGCTTAACTTTAAAGAGAAGCAAAATTACGCCTGGCCTTGAGGGATTCTCTCTGACCTTAGCAAACTCTAAGCATGACACGGGACTTACACCAAGATGATTCCAGATGGACTGATCTAAATGTAGGACTGAAACCATAAAAAACCTAGAAATAAGAATAGGTAAATGCTGAAAACATAATCCTGGGACATGAGTGTAAAGGCAGAAACTATTAATAATATTAAACTGAGCACAGCCCATGCACCAAGCAAGGTGCCAGTGAGCACTTTGGTCCAGCCCCTCATCGTGCTCACGCAGCCATACCACCGTGCCCACAAGGACTTGGCTGCCCCATATGTGCCACCTTCTGTGGCGAAGCCGGGACTCAATTTCAGAACAAGCATCAAAATGAAAGACAGGTGTATGTGACTACATAAATATTTGAAATATTGTATACCCCCTACCACAGACCAAAGGACAGCTGACAAATAGGTTTAAAAGTGTGCAACATATGACATGGGTTAATACATTGTATATTAGTAACAATCTATATGAAAAAGACCAACACTCCAATGAAATCACAAAAATAGAAATATCATAAAGGTAAAAAAGATGTTCAGTGTTCACAGTAATCAAGGAAATGGACATTGAACTGAGGTGCATTGGCCCCATCAATGAGAATAAAGGGAAAAGGCATGTTACAGGTGGTAGCTTAAATTTCTGGAAGTTTGACAATACTAAAAACTCCAAGAGTTAAACATTTCAATCATCCTTTAATTGTATATTTCCAGTGAGGGGAATTTTTCCAAGGGAGATCATGGGTCATGTATGCCTAGAAGGCAAAATAGTGATGCAAGGGGCAGTCCTGGTGATGATGAACAGTGCCAATATTAATACAAGTGGAGCTGCATTTTGGCAAGTCATACGACGAGGACTGGGCTACCCACAGAGACGATGTGATCCATGCTCACAGATGGGAAGGTAACAACAATGGCTACCATTTACAAACACTTCTGAGGCACGTCACACGTACCTTATCAGGAAGGTACCGCTGTTATCCATACTTTGCACACGAGGAAATGGAGGCTTGGAGAGATTAAGCAACTTGCTCAGAGTCACCAGCAGTGAGGGGCAGAACCAAGATTGGGACCTGTGTCCGTGTGCTCCCAAAGTCCATGCTCTTAACTTCAACCCTGCTGCCCCTCTGCTTCAAATTAGGCAGAAACAAGCATATAAAATGGAAGTCTCCCATGGTCCCACGTTTACAAACATATGCATTCAGCACCTGAGCACTCAACGCAATGCCCAACAACAATGGTCCAGTCATAGGCTGGTCACATAGAACCAGTCCTCCTAATAGGATGAATCAGTCAAGACCAAATTTAATATCTTGTCAGTTATTTATTATTTGTCATTCTAAAGACTAGCACATTTACAGCATACATGGCTTTGAATGACCTAAGAATATATAAAACAGTAACTGTATGTTTATATATATATTAATACTGCCCGAAACAAATAAATAAAGGTATCATAATGCACTAAGCTTGGCAAATACAATTGTGTAGGGACAAAACTGTATTATACAATATTTTTACATCTTTAAATGAAACTAAAGGCAACTGTGCTCTGTAGGAGCTCTGACAGAATCCACATTACATTCCCAGTTTTCCATAGATCTCATTTCTTTTTAAATGGGGAGGCTTTATAAGGAACATTGGATGGAACCTCTATTTTATGGTAACTTGTAAAACTGCCTTCCCTGCACATCAGAAAACTCAAAGCTCCTACAGAAGAGAGGAGCTACTTGCCTCCAAGGCTGTGCAACACACTCTCATCCTGCAAGCGCTGGAAGTGTGTGATGCCACCAGAAGCCCAGTAAAAATGCCTTCGGAGAGAACACTGAAACCTGAACCTTTTCTACATGATTTGCCAAGACTTACAGTTTTATGGTGACCCATTACATAAAGCAAAAATTGGGAAAATAATTCACATAAAGGTGCCACATGCAAAACTCCTGACAGATGATCAACATTTGCTATATTCCCTTTGATAAGTGCAGATATTTAATGCTCTTCAGACAAAAAAGATCTGAAAACTATGTGGGTAATATTGATTCTTTTAAAAAGCAAGGAGATTTTTTGAAAGTTAAAATGAGAAAATATGGAACTAAAAATTTACAAATTAAATGAGGTGGTGGAGAGGTGAAAGGCCAAATCAGCCATATTGAAAACGAACTGTCTGTGAACAGAAACTGACACTTAAAGAGGAGAATGTGACACCAGCGGCAGCCACCTGTGCAGTGGGTTTGGTGCGCAGGAGTTTCTCTGCTTCCTGCCTGCCATGGTGAACCCAGCTTTGAGGGAGCAGCTGAGAGCTGCATCCTTGTTAAAGTGTCCTCCACAGACATTTCCCTCCCTGCAGGCATTGGGAGACAGCAGGTTCTGCTTGCATGCTGACTTCTGAGTAGGAGGGGATCTGGAAGGTCACCCAGTTCTACCCCTACCTGATGCCCACCCCCTCTGTGTTCCTGCCAATAAGTAGTCCTCCCCATGCATAGCACCCCTGGTCCAAGTTTGTTACGTGTTTCCAAAGAAACCAGAAGAATCTCTAGGCTTTAGACGTAAGAATTTCTAAGAGGTTCACAAATCATTAAGATCAGCATCATTAATATGTGCCATATAGATTTCTTTTAAAACCTTTTCAAGAACATGTAAACATCATAAACAGAATCAATAAAACATAAAACTCCTAAGAAAAAAACTCTGCTATGTGCAGATAAGACTCATCATCATCTTATAAAAGATGACCAGACAAAATTTTCTATGAAATTCCTAAGTTTTATGGCCCATAAATCTCTTTCAAAATCTCATTTAAGGAGATCATTTCAACTGTTACTCAATAGTCATCTTACATAACAGAACGAGAATAAGAAAGTAACAATTATTGCAAACCTAAAAATAAGACACTTTTATCAGACATTTGAACACAATTGTACTGTGTTTTAGAAGAAGATATATGAAGAAGATATATTGGAAATCCCGCAAGACAATTTTTTTCTGTAAATATTTAGGTTTCTACTATCTCTATGGTCATCAATTCCCCAGGAGAGTGTGACATGCCACATCTGAAGCCCTGGATTAACATCTAGAGAAGAAAGGGAGATGTGCCCTGTGGGCATGGGAGAGCCTAGACAGGGAGCTTCAGAGAACAGGAGACAGGCTAAAGGGACCTTACTGCTGGCTTTGTGTCTCCAAGCAGACTCCCAGTTCTCTAACTCATGAGGGACAAAAAAAAGAGTGGCCCAACTGTGTGGGCTACCTTGGAGGTGTTACTTTCTAACAAAGTCCTATCTCCAGTTAATTTATCAATCTTTCTTTCAACTACTTCAGGTGGTGCTGTAAACAGGATAATTCACTAGAACCCTTTATTCTCACTGTATGAGATAGTGCTAGCTTCTTTCCCAAAATCACATTTAACATTTATTGGTCTGCCTAAGATCCAATTATTTATTATTTGCTGTTTTACATTCATACTTGTACAAAGTGGATTGTAATTCAATGGTCACTTTTGAGTTACTCTGCAGAAAAATAAGTGAGCAAGTTGGCATTTTGATTCATATAGATCTGTGCAGTTACAGCCAAAGGCTATTTAAATGGGAAGTTGTTACTACCCACATTATTGAGCCAAACATTACCTCCTATTGATTCCAATGGTAAAAAAAAAAAAAAACAAAAAAACCCAAAACCAAAAAACATGCTCCATAGATTCTTTAGTGAAATTTTTTTTAAAAAACAAAAACAAAAACAAAACAAAAAATTAAAACCAATCCTTCAGGTCTTCTTGAAGAAGTCATATATGACACTAGAGGGTACCCACATTTATTATGTAACAGCTAATTAGAGGAAACCGTGTGTTCACGTTTCAACTTTTCCGTAAGTCCCTTCGGGAGGCCTGTAATGCTTGGGGAAAGCCTTCAGCTGCAGGGAATTAAATGCATATTTGCGACTTCCAACATTCTTCATTGTATTTTCTCTTCGACAACCCTCACTGGGGAAAAAACAAGCACAAGAAATGACAGCAGTAAAAAAGGAAAAAAGAAAAGACTTAAACTAAGATGAAATGAACTGATTATTTTCATAACATTAAAAAAAAGATTAATTTAAATGGGTGCTGGACTCATTTACAACAAATACATACGTAAAATGGCAGGTTTCTCAACAAGGCAATTAAGAAGCACAGAGATGGACACATGCTGCATGGGGCTGTGAGTTGTGCATTCCTAAAAGCAGCACTGTATCTAAGTAGAAGCAAACTTTTAAAAAGTGAATGAATGACTTCATGTAGCTCATGTCTAAGTCATTTGGGGTTCTATCATAACTTGTGGTTCAAAGGTTATCTTACATAGCAAATTAAGTGGAAAGAGAAATATTACTACTCTTACTAAAGCTGCACTTTAGTAAGCTTTAAAGAGCTGCACTTTTCTATATTAGCAAGAGCTGTAATCACATTGAAATTCAAAATGTTGACTTTCCTTGCAGAATTCAACATGTAGCAAAGGCATGTGGCTGGGAAGGCTGTTCCGATCTGCTGTCTCCTGGAGGACAGTTGTTCTGGCTGCCGGGTAATCCAATGGGCTCATGCACTGTCTGCAGACCAGCCTGGCAATCAGGGCTGGAATGTCCTGAAGGAGGGACCTCACTGAGATCTGGTAGCAGCCAGCAGCCCTTCCACAGGTGGGCTGCCCTCATGTGTTCCCTCTTGCACAAGTGCCACTGAGCCAATGAGAGCCCACAGGTACCCTTCCCTAGAGAACTCACTACCAGCATCATCCCCAGCTGCATTTGATGGAGGGTTGCCAGGGCAATCTGGGAGGGAGGCAAAAACAAATGCCGCATGGGAGGATGAGTAGCCAGGTGTCCTCACCTGAGTGCATCCGGGGAGTTCTCTGGGAAATGCTCAGGTGTAGACATAAAACTAATGGGCAAAAGTGACTTTACACAAAAATGACTTCCCACAGCACAGTATAACTTGATAGTTGTATACTGTTCTAAGACTAGCAATGAAATCAACTAGTTATCAAATTTAGTACAAAATTCCCTTTATGAGATGCAAAATTTGCAGTTAGCAAGAAACAGTGATTTTTTTAAAAAAATTCAAATTGTATGAAGATCATTATGTCATGCACTTTAAAAAAATATCAGTGGCAATTGCTCAAGCCTTTTAAAGTGAAAATGACAGTCTCATCAAGAACATGTAAAATACTTTTGGTAAGACTAATTTTTATTCAAAAGCTAAGCTCAGATGGTTTAGAAAAGTATCCACCTGGTTGTTATAACTAATTTGGTAACTTAGATATGCTTTCTTGTCACGGAGCCTCAAGGCCTCAGCTGAGCTGAACACCCAGGCCACGGGAGCAGGTCCCCTGGAGTAACAATCATGTTTGCCTAACATTCAGTAATCAAAATTGTACTTCCACTTAAAGCAGAAGCTATAGGTTCCTATGCACAGTTAATCTCCTTTAATCTTTGGAAACTCTTATATTAATGAACTACTTCAGATATGGCTTCCACTTATATAGAAATGTACAAACTGCTTAAAAACCACCTATCACTAGTAAATGCTAAACTGCCATGAGGAGCAAGGCAGAATAATTTGTGAACTTTGACATTATCTTTTATTTACATCTTAAAGGAGCTAATGCCTAGTTTAGTTGGCTGAACACATTAGACATGGAGTTATAATAAAGATTGTTTCATTTCAACGTAGTTTTCAAATCAGATTTTCTTTCCCAAAAATGTCTGAATTTACATAATCTGCCTGGCGGGGCTGATTCACATGCCGACACTGTCATCCCACTGCCTGTGCCGACAAGCTGGCAGGAGGGCCTGGGACGAGGTATGCAGAGGTGGTGAGAACGGCCTGTGCGAACTGGGGCTTCCTGCCGCAGAGGCCAGCCTGCTGCCCTAAGGCAGAACACCTCCACTGATCACACTGGTTGTGTACTTTTTAGGAGTCAATGGCACCTGTAGAGAAGGTCTTAGATTTTAGCAAGAGGGACTTATTTGTTTCAAAACTCCATGATTACTTTTACTATATCAATAAATTATTTCTTTTCAAGGGCATACATTTTTGAAATGAAAAATAATGGAAACCCCAAATGACAGATAATTTTAGGGAATCCTCTAGTTTGCCAGTTCCAGTGGGATTTTCCATTTTAGAACTCATCTGCTGGCATCAGTATCTTAGTGATTCTATGGCCAAGCATGGGGTAGTGGCTGCTACTCCTGTCACTTTGTGGAGGGAGAATAGGCCATTTTGTTAAAATCTCTGCTGGAACCAAGCCTTAGGTGTAAATGGTGACGGTCACACTAGTTGAAAAAACTTAAACAACAATTTTATAAGATCATTCAAAGAGAACGACTCCTGATTATGGTTTCCCTAACTTCAGAAAGCTGGTTTAATCCTGAACACCTAGAGCTGGTATCAACAATGCCTCAGCACTACTTCTGTACATGCAGCTATAACCATCACTAAATGTCAATGACCCCTTTCTTGAATCATCTCCCCACCTTTGTTTCATCCTGCCTATATCTCACTAAAGCAGGTAAGATTTTGAAAACGTATTTGGCCTGATTTCATGAGTAAAAGACCTTAGTGACATTAAAATTCAGCATAAAGGGAGAGCAACTGAGTTTCTTTTCTCAAATACTTTAAGTTTTAAAAAACCAAAACCAACCCACCGCCTAGGCTAATCTCACGGTGTCCTTTTGGTAGCTCTCCAACTGCACAGGCAGCACACTGATTTTCACCCAGCCCCTGGAGGAGAGAAACAAAGAACTTTATCTTTCTCCCTTTGGTCTCATTTCTCTCTCATCCCAAGGGCTAAGTCCACATGGGCAGAAAGGTGTGGTGACAATCAAGGATCAGGCCGTGGTGTCCTTGAGGCCCCTTGGGAGTGGCTCCTTGGCTGGCCACAGCTTCTCTGTGCTATCGGGCAGGGTCCTGGGAGGGGCCCCTGAAGGGTGCCACAGAAACATCCTTGAGCCTTGGGACAGGGAGGAATGCTGTCTGCAGTCAGAGGGCCTCCCTCTGTGCATGGCCTCTGCCCAGCCACTAGCCCTGCCGTGGAGGTGGGAGTGAGCACCAGTCACCACTGCAGGCAGTGGAACCACACTACCAGTAGCAGGACCTGGAAGCTATGTAATGGGAACTGAATGAGGCTGTGGACTCTGCTTTCTCACTTTCAAATAAAGCAAACAAGATGGTATTAGTTGAAGTGCACGCCTCAATGTGAAAGAGGGAAAGTGGCAAATATACCTTTCAAATAATCACAGGCTGGACAGGACACTAAGGACAGTAGCCCAAGGACTACTGTCATACTGCCACAGCTTACACCACCCATAAGCTGGCATTTGGTGAGAGACTCCCTACTGAAGGATGCCAAGAGCTATGTCGTAACAGCCACCTCACTTATTTTAGAAGAGACAAGTGAACATGCTGCACTTGGAGAGGCGTGGATTCACCTACGGGGTGACACATAGGTGACACCTGCCTCAGGGAGCCTGCAGTGCTCAGGATGGTCTTCCACTTTAGAATGTAAAGTGTTGAGTCTAGCATTTGCCATTCATTGCTAACTGCTCCTATGATTCTTAGTACCCAGACTCTGAGCTGAAACCAAATGAGAGAAAGCCCAGAGTAAGGTCTGGAGTCCTGGAGAAAGAATGAAGAGAGGTCACCGCCTTTTGTGGTGAATTGGGTTTCTGGGCATGCATGGGTGCCAAGTTTCTGGAAAAGCAAGCTTCTCTAAATTCATTTCCATTTTTCTGGACTGGTTAAAAAAAAATCCTCTTCATAAACTACAGTGTATGGGGAATCAACTGAAGACAGAAAGTGGGGGTACAATATAATATGAACTAGAAGACAGAGAAGCCACTGATTGTCCTGCACAGGCTATGGGGATTTTTTCCTTATTTACTTGGTTACCTTTAGAGGTGTCCAATAACCCTCTGCCCCTACATAGGTGTTAAGGTTACACTTCATCTCACTGCAGGGCACGCCACATTAGGACTGAAGGGCACCAGCAGAAACCAGAGCACCCCGTTGCTCTCACAGGTCTATCCGTCGCAACTGCCCAAAAGTCAAGGATCTTTTTTTTTTGCAATTTCTCTTTGATTTTTTTTTCATTATCAACCATATTTGATTAGTAAGAGAAAAGATGTTGGAACTTTAATCTGCAATTAAAGATACCATTTTTTAAATAAAAAATGCTGTTTTAAAATAATAAAAAGATGTAACTTTAACAGCCTTTGGTTACTATATGCATTAATTCCTGGAACCAGTTGAATGATCCTTACAAAGTTAAATAACCTATTGATCTGTGTCTGACTTGGTACAGTATACTATTGTATTCACAGCTTTTTGTCATCCTTAATTGGAAATAATAAACATAAGCAAGGAAGTCTTAGGATTTTGCAAACTGTTTGCTACTGAAATTCAGGGACTACGCTTTGAAATGAAAGCAGAAAATACATGTCCTATTAGATAGGTTTGTCTAGACGAGCCAGTTATAAAGCATCTATCTTTTTCTCTTCATTTGTCATCAAAAGGAAAGGGTTAGCAGTATACTTAAAGAATAGTATCAAATATACAAATTCTCTTCAAACAGAACTCCTTTTTTTTTTGGAAACAGGGCATGTGAGAAGTACAGGTGATAGATAGTTGTACGTCGGAAGGTAGAGACGTGGTACAAGGAATTCCAGGCCAGCTAAACGATGCAGTGACAGGGCACCGTAAGAACATGGTACAAGCACTGAAGATGCTACAGGAGCTAAACAAACAAGTCCTCTTGGTGAAATAATTTGGCAGATATTTACAGTTCAGAAGAACAAAACATCAAAATGTAAGGCATGAAATAATCTCTTGGCAGACCACGCTTTGACACATTCCTTCTGTCCAGTTAGGTACACGGTGGCTGGACATGTTCTGGCACTTTTGTTTTTCTTGTGACTTATTAATTTTTCATAATAATATTCATTTGCAACGCAATTTGGTCACCAGGTATGCTATGCTCAGAAAGAGCCACACAATCAGTAAATTGGGGCTCAGAGCTAATAAAGGAATGGAACAGAGGAGGCTGGGGTCTAGCCTTAAGTCTCGGATGGGCACCAGGCCGCTCAAGTTCTTCTGGGTGACTACCTCCCGTGTTCCAATGCTGTGAAAAGGAAAAAGTTTGGGAGAAAGAAAAAGAAACAAGGAAAAAAAAAAAAAGAAAATAAAGAAAAAAAGAGAGACACATGCGATGGATTTTATCAAAAAGTATGAGATAAAGGAGAGAACCAAAAGATAAGATTAAAAAAAAAATGAAATGAAGCCACAATAGAAAGAAAAGATGAAATGCAGAAACGGGTATGAGAGGAAGACCAAAACAAAACCAGCACAGTTACAGGAAAAAAGGAGAGAAAGAGAAGTGAAAATAAGAAAAAATACTGCAATCTACTGAAAATAAACACATGTAGGTTGAACGAATGGTTTTCCATGTTCACTCTCTCGGCTGGCCAAGCACAACTCCATGCTGCCCGGCCATGCTCCCACATGCTGCACACACAGGGATTTCTGAGAAGCAAGCTGAACATGAAGAACCATTGGGGGTTTGACCTTCTCACAAATGCCTGAGCAGGGAGTGGCACAAAGGATTTGGCTAAAGCTGCCTCTTGATCAACCACACAAATGAAAACCATCTACCTCAGGTACCAACCAACCAAGTGCAGAGCCCTCACCAGCCCCACCTCGGGTTCCGGGCTCAGCAGTGGCAGGCATGAATGACTGTTGTCTCCATCTTTGCAAGTTATGGTTCTACGAGCATCCCCAGGGGTGGAATCCAACTAACACCACACTGAAAATTTGGGTCTTCCCCTTTTTGGTGCTACAGAAAAACTGCACTGAGGTGAGATGGTACCTAGAGCCACACGACTCTGGAAGCACATTCATGTCCACAGTGACACAGAATTGAGGCCTGAGGACACAGCAGGCAGCTTGTGAAGGGTCCACTCAGAAGATGGGGAGGCAGGAGGCCCAGGGTTCCTCTTCACACAGGGCCCTCCCCAGCTCCTCTGGAGGAGCCCTGAAGCCCCAATGGCCCTGCTGGAATGTGCCATTCTGAGAGGGCACAATTCCCAAGCTGTGGAGCACTGACCCACTGCCACAATCCCTGCCAGGAGAGGCTGGTGGGGCCCTGTGGCTATTCAGCAAGGCCCACTTCAAGGGGTTCAGCCCCAAGACTGGGGACATGGACATCCCAGTGGCCAAGTATGTGAATCTCTTCCCAACTCCATGTTCAGTGGTACCACACTGTAAGCTTGAAACAAGCTCTGGTAGAAGCGTTTATGCCACAGAAATTGGCAAACATTACAGATCAGGACTTTTGGAGAGAGAGCTGGTAGCTGAACATTTACAGCACAGCACTGACCACCGTTCACCCGGGCCTCCAGGCTAAAGCCTGATGCCAGCTTGGCCCCCACCCGCTTACCCCCACCTGCATGCTCTACTCTTCCGTCTGGTAAGACGCAAGCAAGAAAGCCAGGAACCAAAAGTCCTCCTCCACTCACAGACATGGTGGAGGTTTATGCTGCCTCCTGGAGCTCTCATCTAAACTGCAGGTACTCTGCACCCCAGCAGCCAGAGCTGCTAGCTTGTGACTCAGCCACCTCGGCTTGCAGCTGCCTAAACAGGTACATGTCTTTCCCTCATGGGATCATAGAGAAAACAGAAGGCACCTTAAAACAAATGCCTGTGGCAAAAGCCTCAGATCTTAAGGGTCGGCTCAAGGTGGCAGTGAGCTGTGTCCCCGGGGCTGGTGCGAGAATTCTGGGACAGGAACAGGTAAAGTAGAATTGAGCTTTGCTTTTATAACTTCTTAAAAAATTATTAAAGTAAGATGTTTGCTGTAGAGATTTCAAAAAATAAATGTATAAGCAACTTAAAAAGACATCCATAATTAGTGGCAGGGGTGGGGTTTAGAGAGGCAGAGGGCGGTGTTGGGGGAATGGCGCCTGTTAACACAGGAGGAAGGGCCCTCCCTTTTCCAGGCCTCAGGGCCCTTACCAGTAATGCAGAGAAACAACAGCCCTGACAGCTTCAGAAGCCTCCCAAGAGTAACAGGAAAGACAGCGCCTCACTCGGGCAGTGTCCTGAGCACTCTGGGACACTGGATAGGAGAGTGGCTACTGTGGGGACCATTTGGTGATCTGTACTAAAATTATTCAAAAGCCTTACAAAGGTGTACACTTTTTAACCTAAGGCAATGTAGCTAGGGGAATATATAAAGATATCTACTGCACCTTTGATTAAGATGCTGGAAAACCATATACAGCTTATTCAGTGACAGCAAATTGGATAAATTATAGTGTGTAAAAAGTGGCTGGGCGTGGTAGCTCACTCCTGTAATCCCAGCACTATGGGAGGTGGATCACCTGAGGTCAGGAGTTTGAGACCAGCCTGGCCAACATGGAGAAACCCCTCTCTACTAAAAATACAAAAAATTAGCCAGGTATGGTGGCAGGTGCCTGTAATCCCAACTACTCAGGAGACTGAGGCAGGAGAATTACTTGAATTCGGGAGGTGGAGGTTGCAGCGAGACATAATGGTACCACTGCACTCCAGCCTGGGTGAGAGAGCAAGACTCTGTCTCAAAAAAAAAAAAAAAAAAAAAGTGATAGAGTCTACATTTATTAACCTAAACAATGCTCACAAGACTGTTAATTGCAAATATAATTGCATTTGTTTGTGCACGTGGGTGTTTTTGTTCTGTGTGATTCAGGGACTGGTTAGACCATGTGTACATACTCACGCCCATATGAATATACGCACGTCTCTGTCTCAGAGAGTATGTATCCGAATGTTAGCAGGGCTACCTATTCATAACAGGAAGCTGGGGGATTCTGTGTGGGGAGGGTTGTGAAGAACTAGTGTAGGTGCTTATCTGTATTTTCTAATTTTCCTATAAGGATTTTCAATTCCTTACGTGTTTAAAAGTTATAAAAAGTGCTTTGTGCACTGTACATTTTAACAGTTGTAACTGTAATAGCTATCCTGAGCACACAAACCAAGTGGGCTAGGGGCAGGCAGGCGGGCCCTGTGGGTCTGGGCTCAGTGACAGGCCTGCCATCATACTGTGGCTCTCCATGAAGCCACTCTGTCCCTGGTCTCCTGAGGCCTTTGTGTTCAGAGGCGGTCAGAATGAATGTTTTCGCTGAACTTGTTCAACAGCCCAAGAGCAGGGTAGAGGTCTCCGCATGGACTGTGTGCCTAACTTGGGGTGCCGGCTCCTGACTGACCCTGATCCTGCTCCTTGTTGCCACAACCGCAGGGATCCCTGTCCACTTTGTCCTCCTTTCTTCACTGGCAGCTCACCAAAGTGTCCCCTCCCACCACTGTGCAGCTAACGGGCACAGGCGCGGCCGCCGTCCCTCAGCACCAGGGTCACAGTGGACATCAGGCCTGAAGGGCACCAAGGCTCCCGGAGAGCAGGCCCTTGCCCCAGAGCAGGGGTCTTTGAATCTCCATTGCTTCCCTGAGCCTGGGCAGAGGGATGGCAAGCTTTAACAGAGAAGTTGAGATGAATTTGGAAAGACAAAACAGGACAAAATGATTCCATTTTTACAAAATGCACTTATCAAGAGGCAGGAGCTCACACGTCGCTTTGTGCATTATTGTGAGAAGGTCAAACGGCAGAAACATACAGAAAGGATAAGAGAATTGAACACTTTAAATAATTTGGTGAGAGGACAAATGATACAGAACATTCAGTAGAAGTGACCGTTGGAAACGAGACTTTAACAGCATTGGTGACTACATCGAAGGAGACGGGAAACCAGGTTTCTTATCCTTTCTTTTGGTATGTGAGGAAGGGGGCTGCCCAGCAGTGCCTGAAACAAGGCATCGATCAACAGTAGACACTTTTAGTTCCAGGTTTCATTCTGCAAACACGCCTGCTGCCTCAGAATCAGAACATCATTAGGGTGAGGTTGCCAGGGCACACTGACAGCTGTCACAATAAAACACTCATTTGACACTTTGCTCATAAGAGCAAATTGTGTCGACTGCTAGAGAAGCAGCGGAGCAGACCAGTGCAACCTGCAGACGCGTTGCTTCACTCAAGTTTGGAAATGTACAGATACTGATATATATACAACAGCAACAGCAGATGCCTGCTGAGAAAGCACTGGCCCTAAGTCACACCCACAGCCAGGCAGGTGGCCAACGGGGCACCGCATGTCACGGCTGCATCCCAGCTTCCCATTTGGCTGCCTGACCCCTGGCTTGCCCACCAGTCTAACAGTTTTCCCAGGAGTCCTGCTTAGAAAGTCCTTCTAGCTCTTCCCCCCGCATCTTATGTTACAAGAGAACCCTGTCTGAATTTGATAGTGCCAATGGTTTGACTGGTTTGTCAAACTCGAGTGTGACGGCTGGCGTCAAGGGGCTCATGCAGGGTAGGCCCCGTGGGCAGACGCGCAGGGTACCAGCTCATCTGCAGTTTACACGGGCCAGGACAGGCGGGGCGCGCGGTCTGGCTATAGCACTCACCTGCGCATGCACTCCAGGGCCTGGGTGAAGACCTGTGGGGCCATGCCGTGCTCGTGCTGCAGGATCAGGCACTGCTCCAGCGTCACTGACATGGCCGTACGGTCCTTGGCGCTCTTGCAGCTGGTGAACCGGACTCCATTAAGGCGACGGCAGATCTGCCAAGAGAAACATGGGTCATACTTAGGAGGAGAGGCTCCCCAGAAAGGCAGCACCCTTGACACACAGGAGAGGCTCCCAACTGGCCCAGCAAGGGCACAAACAGGAACTCAACACCCAGGCCTGGCCAGACACTTCAACTGTGTTCCCCAACTCCATTCCCTGCCAGAGCTGGTAACAGAAACCAAGTCACTTACAGACACCAGCCCTTTTGGGGGCCTGCTGCCTGTGGGCCTGCTGTCGTCCCTGCCACCCCCTATGTGGCCTGCCTTCTCCCACAGGACACTCTATTGTAGTCTGCTGTCCCCTTGCAAACCATGCCTGGGCACTCTTGTCATGTTCAGCTCTTCGCTGCTGATCCCTGAAGGAAAGAGGGTGACAAAGATGACCTACTCGGGGCCGGGCACGGTGGCTCACGCCTGTAATCCCAGCACTTTGGGAGGCCGAGGCGGGTAGATCACAAGGTCAGGAGTTTGAGACCAGCCTGGCCAAAAATGTTGAAACACTGTCTCTACTAAAAATACAAAAATTAGCTGGGCGCGGTGGCAGGCACCTGTAATTCCCAGTTACTCAGGAGTCTGAGGCAGGAGAATCACTTGAACCACGGAGGCAGAGGTTGCAGTGAGCCGAGATCGTGTCATTGCACTCCAGCCTGGGTGACAGAGTGAGACTCTGTCTCAAAAAAAAAAAAAAAAAAAAAGACCCACTTGGGAAGCCAGAGCCACTCTCAGGATGCCCACAGTCCCAGGCCAGGTCTCCCTGAAAGGCAGGGGACAGACCTACTATCTCTACCCTCCTCCTTCACATACACAGACAGGAGCAGCCCAGAAGTTCCACTGCCCTTTGGCCACCTCCTGAGCACCAGACCCTACAGGCCTCCTCCCGCCGTCCTCTCCTGGTTGCAGAGTTAATACCAGCACACTTCCCGCCTCACAGCTGAATGGCTCACAGAGTAGGGGACTGGGAAAAGGCCACTTGAGCGCACCTCTTCTCCCCTTGGGGAGATTTCAGGGCATTTTCCCTGCACCACTAGATACAATCCTAAGCACACAGTCACCAAATCCAGTAAGCTCTGAAACGAAGTATTTTTTTTTTTTTGTAAATTTGTGGCAGTCTCATTTTGCAGCACAACCAGACCTGAGCTGATAATGAGACCACTTATAACTTTTACTTTTGTGTAAATATTCATACTTTTCAGGGTGGCAATAATATGAGTTTGATTGTAGAGTGCTGCCCCAGGCTTCCTGGGGATGTTAAATCCTGTATGTGTACCATATTACTTACATAAGAACACCGACTGTGTACCACAGTACTTTCTAAAATCTGAAAACCTGTGCATTCCAAAACATCTGGCCACAGGGGCTTCAGATAAAGGACTGTGCATCTTATCAGATACTGCACTATGACAGCAAGGCTGGTATTTAATGAAACATCATCCAAGTGGTATGATGGTGGGCTCCAGGTATCCGCTGTATGCCAAGAAAATATCAGTGTCTTGTCAACTCCTGAAGATGGCACAAAACCTGCTTGTCAGGCCAGCAAAGCCAAAGAGCATGCCAGTCACTAGCAGGATCACCACTAGACATGAATATGGTACAGTGCTAAGAACCTTGTCCAGGGAGAGACAAAACAGAAAAGACCCATTATTCAGGCAAGACAATCAGAAGAATAGGTTTCTTTTGAGAACAGACCAAAAGAAAGAAAAAAAGAAAAAGCAGCAGACCCTAAGCAGATAAGCAGACCCTAAACTAATGAAGAGTAAATTAATCAAATGTGTAAAGTTGTAACTGACAAAGCAAGAGTGAACTTGGTATGTGCACTAAATTCTGGGGGCTGTAGAGTACATGACCCAAACACATGGTGGAAGCTGGAACTACAGGCTTCAAAAAACTTTAAATTAATAGATCCTGCATCCAGAGCTAATATGAGGGTCTGAAAGGCAGGCAGGGGTGGCCAGTGATGCATCCTAGCCCAAGAGGGCACTGCAGTGCCAGGTTCCCATCCCAGAAGGCCATCAGCCACTTCTGGTGCACTGCTGGGTCTCCTCATCCATGAGATATGGGCTCAGACCTGACTAAAGATATTCCAGCTATTTAGCCAGGGACCCTTTGTTCATACACACAAATAAAAAGAAACAGGAGCCAGAAAAATCAGCAGCTCTGATCAAATTGAGGATGGAAAGACTCACTCAGTACCTGAGTGGCTGGCGCTGCTGCCCCACAACCACTTATCCCCAGGGGATGCTTGGGGTTTGGTGGACAACATGAGAATGTCTCTGAGAGACTTCCACCACTACACTCCTGCTTCTATACCTTGAGGTCTCTATTGGGAACAAAAAATACAGGACTTGATGGACAGCTTTTCTGTTCTGGTGACAGGGGATGGTCAAGTGTCCCTATACTTAATGATTTTTCTGTTATATGGCAACAGACAAGAAGAACCACAGTTCCCAAACAAGGTATGCACAAGGTCTCTGCATCGCACGTCTGTAAAGCTGCCTGTGTGTTTATTCTAAGGAGAATAAATCAGTGAGTACACATCCCCCACCACTGTTCAGAGACCTGGCTGTGTCACCCTCTGCATTCTTTTGTTTTGTTTTTTGTTGTTGTTTGTTTGCTTGGTTTTGTTTATTTTTTTCTTTTTTGAGATAGAGTCTTGCTCTGTCACCCAGGCTGGAGTGCAGTGGTGCAGTCTCAGCTCACTGCAACCTCTACCTCCCAGGTTCAAGCGATTCTCCTGCCTCAGCCTCCAAGTAGCTGAAATTACAGGTACCCACCACCACGCCCAGCTAATTTTTGTATTTTTAGTAGAGACAGAGTTTCACCATGTTGGCCAGGCTGGTCTCAAACTCCTGACCTCAGGTGATTCACCTGCCTCGGCCTTCCAAAGTGCGGGGATTATAGGCATGAGCCACCGCACCTGGCCACCCTCTGTATTCTTCATGTTATGTGGGAAAGGCTTGCTCTTCATACAAAATCTCTTAAGGTACTTAGGTAAAAGGCTGTCACAGCCTGGACAGGGAGGTTTAGCAACTCCCCAGAAAAAATAAAAGTAGCAAACCCCTCTGCTCTGCTGCAGAGACCTCCAATGCCACATGAGGCCCCAAAACCAAGAGGATACCTGAGAAACCTGCCAAACTTCCTGTCACTTGGTGCTTCAAAATGTGTTCTGCTATAATGAAAGATTTAGAGGGCAGCCTGGCCCAGAGAGGGGAGACCTGCAGATTGACCCATCCTATGCTTTCCAAGAGGACAAAGTCTGAACAGCTGAGGCATTTGAAAAACGAAGGGGAATGTTCACTCTTTAAAGTTTAATTCAACAGAACGGTATCAGCGCCACGACTGTTAACAAACCCAGTCTGTTCTAGAGCTTTAGAATGTACTCAGTGACTCCTTCTTCTACCAGTATGGAGAGATCTGCTCTCCTCCTGAGATTCTACTTTGTAATGTTCCTGTCTGACCTTTGGTAATGGGCATAGCAATAGCCTCCTTTTCTCCCTTTCCTCTCTATAACAGTACCTCAGCAGCTTGCCAGAGAATGTCGACGTTCTTATTCTTCCGGGCATGCACGTTCTGACCCAGAAACCGTAGCAGCTCTGGCAGGCACGTCTGACTGCGAGACCGAGGCAGGCCTGGAAGAGAAAAGGAGTCCATGGGAGTGGGTGCCGCACCCAGGAACTTCCCCTGACAGAGGGAGCCCACCCAAGTGAACTGCTGGGGCACAAACTGGTAAAATGACAAGTTCCCAGTTGAAGAAGGGATGGAGGTGTTTGGGGGTAAGACTTGGCTGCTGATGTGGTGAGCACTTATTTCTTTCACTGCCATTTTAGTGCTACCTTCAAAGGACAATTCCTTCATCTGCCTTCAGCTCTTCTGAGGGACTGGGAATGGCCACCACATCACCTACAGGACTCCTTGTAAATACCCATTGCCTCCCGCACCCCTCCCACATGAGGGAGTTAGGAGGGAGTAAGGGAGATCCAGCTGGTCTTCAGAACTTCCCCAGGATGGAGGAAACTGGGGCAGTGGGTCTGGGCCATCAAGCAGGCCTGGAAACCTTGGGAGGGATCTGGAAAGCGCAGCCTCCTCCAGGTGGCCCTTGGCCCACACTGCCTCTGCTTGCGCATCCTAACAGCTCCTCCTCAACTCTGGCAGTCTCCAGGCCCTTCCAGGACCCCTTGGACCTGAAGATCCATGAGGTCACCTTACCGAGAAACCCCAGACAAAACTGAGAAAAAAAATCAACCACTACCAAAAGGTACTCTGGGATTTTCAAACACTGGGATTACAAAGACAAAGAGAAGAGCCTAAAGGTCATGGCTAAGTAAAACAGCCACAGCACTGAAATCCCCAAAGCCAAACTAAGTACATGGCATTTGGGATCTAACTGCACACCTGGTTGCCACCAAACAGCCTTGCCCTGGTGTACACAGGTCCTGTGCTAATTACTTCACGTTGCTGCTGAGTGGTCTGCACCACACCCGTCAGGGGACAGGGCAGAGACAGAGAGACAGAAAGCCAGCATCAGCCCAGATGGAAGCTGTGGGACCCCAGAGGAGGGGAGCCTAGCTGGGTCAGGACATTCGCCCTCTGGCGGAGACAGCATCATCTCACCTGTGGCTTCACATCTGCACTGTGGCTTCTTGCTGGCTGTCCCTGCAGCCCCTACTTTAATGAATACCTGTCCACTGAGGAACCATGCAGTTTGGGGGTATTCAGCTGGTGGGCTCCATCTCCTCAGCCTCATAGACCAGCCATCCTCCTGGGGGGAAGGGTACCTGGCTGCATCTGCCCCAGCTTCCTGGGTCATAGTCTAATCAGCTGGCTCCTGCCTGTGTGGTCCAGCCTGGCTGCTCTGCTTCTGGAGGCCTCGCCCATCCCGGGCCTTCACTGTCTATGGCTTCCCGACCCTGGGGACTGCCCAGCTGCCAAGGCGCTGTGCACAAATTCCACCTTCCTACTTACTGCAGCCGCTCACCACTCCCACGCCTCCCGGCCTCAGTGCATGCCCCCCTACTCCCTCCCTGCTCACTTTGTGGCTCCCTGGCCAGCCCTGCGGGTGGGCCCATCCTCTCCCCTACAGCAGTCAGAAGATAAGATGCTGCCTGGGCTTGGCCCAGCTCCTGGGGAGACTTGCCCTCCATGCCTCAGTTTCTTCATCCGCCAAGTGGGTGTGAAACCGATGCCTATTTCCCAGGGCTGCTGCAGGGATCATATTAGAGAATCTACATAAAGTGGGTAGTAGGGGGTCCGGCTTGCAGTGAGTGTGGACAAATCTGCTGTGTCAACTCCAGTCCCTGCTGAAGAGGGTAAGGACACCTTAACAGCTCCACTGCCACGGCACTGATGGTCTTCAGCTGCCAAGTCCTCGCAGGAGCTTGACTTAATGCCATGTTTATCACCCTGGCTGTGGCACACAGGGACCACCTGGGGAGTTATGCCCACGCCTTGCCCACCACACTCTGGAGTAGGGCCCAGGCATCTGTATTTTTCCAGGCTCTCTGCATCTGTGCCAGTTACCTCCACTCCCCTCAAGGCCCCGGTTTCGTGCTCACCTCTCATGTTGAGTAGGACAAGAACACCTGTTTTACAGAGGAAACTGAGGCCACCTGACCTGAGGACCTGGTATTTCCTCCATTTGTGTCCCTATCTCCTCTATTCCTTCCTTCCCTCCCTGCAAAGGCACCCTCTGCCTGCCCGCTCCAGGGCCTGGTCTGTGACTCTGCCGTCCTCTCACATCTTCCAGTCCTGTGAGTTCTCTGGCACCTTCCCTCAGGCCTTTGAACACTCCCATGTCCCCTACATCTCCAAGGTATGTCCCACCTGCCCACTGCCCCATCCCTCAAGTCAATGACAGTCTTTGGGACAGAGTGGTCCATTCCAAAGCAGTGCCATTTCATCACCCCTTGACCCCTGGCCCAGCCTCCACCACACTGAGACTGTCCAGGAGAGATCACCAGCAGCTCCTCATCCACACATCCAGAGCCCAGCAGCACCCCACACCCTCCAGGCTCCTGCCTCCTTCCTGCTAGCCTGTGATGCTCTCTCTGGCCTTCTGTTGAGTCCCTTTTTCCTCTCTGTCCCTAGAAGCAAGGGCCCCTCCAGATGCTGTTCCAGTCCCTTCTCATCTTGCCACTCAGTGGCCTCAACCATAAAAGGGCTCACTCTGTGGCTTCACAACAGCACTCCTCATGGGTCATTTGCCCATGTCGTCAGCTCAGCTGGGGCCAGTGCTGAGCTCACCTCCCCTGCAGCCCTGTGTCTCTCTCATCGGTGGGGTGGCCCTTGCTGCTGCTGCCAATTCCAGCATCCTCAGCTAGCGCCAGATCCGTCAGCTCTCCCAGCAGGCACAGCCCTTATCTCCCCAGTGTTGCACGTGGTCGCGGAGGAGCGCATCTTCAGCTCAAACCCTCCTAATGGCTCGTCCTTCTCTCCACACCCACTGTCACTACCAGGCTGGAGTCAGAGTGAAACGACATCTTATCTGAAGTGTCACAGCCTCACTCTGGCCATCAGTGGCTTGCCTCCCCTCTTCCAAGCCAATTACACACTCTTGTTAGGTGAACCTGCAAAGAGGCAGCTTTTCCCCCACTGTTTCCCTGCGGAACACCACTGAAGCCACAGAATCCCTGGCCCAGCCCCGGAGTGTTTGGCTTCAGTCTCTCCTAGCAGGATGGCTTCAGCCACAATCCAAGCACACAGGCTTCAGAGCCAGGCACCCCTTTCTTCATCTGGACATGGATCCTAAAACCAACCCAGAGAGCTGTTGTGGTTCAGTGTGGAAGTGTGTATAGAGCCCAACCCGGTGCCTGGCACATCTGTGACCTATGAAGGTTCACCAGCATTACTGTTTGACTATCTCTAAACTCTAAGGTCTACCATACAGAATGCAGATGAAGCCTGCCCAAGTCAAAGCCCAGCCAACATGGGTTCCCTCTTTGGAAACCCCCATCAGAGGACAGTAGTGTAACGCAGTGCGGATGACATCTTTGGCTGCGTGGTGCCCCCTAGTGGCTGCAGCAGTGCCTGCACAGAGAGGCGGGCACTCTGGGACCAGCTTTGTCTTCCAAGGCAGGGTCTACCCCTCATTCGTCATCGGATCTTCTAGCACTTTACACATAGCAGGTCCTCAGGGAACATTCACTCGGTTGAATTTGAGAGGGAATTCTACATGTAGACAGTGCAGTGCAGCTCTGGGTTCCTGAGTTCTGTGGCTGCAGAGCCCTTGCTGCAGCATCTTCACTGAGGGGCATGCAGAGAGACTACTGCCAGCATCTCCACTGCCTCCAGGAGATGCCGAGATGGGGCCATCTTGCTCCCAAACACCCAGCAAGGTCGGCCCCACATCTTCCTCTCTAAGCACCAGAGAGGGAGGTGCGTGGGCCGCACACCTGGCCAAGGGTGAGTCCTGCCTGTGATCCCCCAAGCCCTACCAGCAGGTGCATGATGAGTGCCACCAAACATATCAAATGTCAGTGACTACGACAGCATGGGAAGGAGCCATGTCACACAGACTAGTAGAGAATCAACAGCAAAGAGATGAAGGAGGACCACAGCTAAGGGAAGCTTCTCTTTCTGTGTGTATGTTTAGGGAGAGAAGGAACAGTATCTGACTGCCAGTCCCTCTGGGACTGCACTTACAGAGGCAGGGCAAGCCAGAGCTCAGACGTCCAAACTGATAAAAAGATAAGTGAAACCTACCATAACTGAAGAAATACTTACAATCCTCAGGCAAAACTTCCTTAAACTGCTCAAAGTAGGAATTTAACCGCACCAAACTCTCCACATTGATGACTTCTTGTAAAGATGTATCGCCAAACCTTGGGAGGTTATAAGGGGATGCCATTAGTTGGCTAATGTCATTTTCTTCTAACACGAACACAACTGCATGAAAGCTAACAATCTTGACTCTTTCAAACATGTACTGTGCTTATCTAAATTCTAAGCCATTTTCCTTCTTCCAAGCATAAAGGCAACTGATCGGTTTAAATACATTTCATTGACAGGAATCATGTGTTACTGTTACATGTGTGCCTGAGAGATGATCAGACCACAATCTGTTTCAGATCCTGTGCAGCACAGGAGCCCCACCATGGCCGTTTGGCTCAGAGTCCCTGATCTCCTCCCATCTGAGGCACTTAGGAAGGGGGACGGCAGTGAGGTATGGCTGGGAGGTGAGGCTGCAGCCCTGTACTCCACCCTGAAGTCGCTCTCCGTGTGCAGAATGAACATGCCTGACTGCCAGTCCCTGTGGGACTGACCATGAAACCCTTGCCCTTTCCTCATTGTTGCAGTTCACCCTGATTACACCTGTGTGCTGCAAGTGAGCATGTGCTAAATGCCTAAGAAACAAGGCTGTGGAATGCCAGCTGCCAGGAAGGCACACGGTGGTCATTAGAAAATGCATCCTCTGAAGTCCAGGTCCTAGGCCCCAGTGCAGTCCCACATGTCCCTGCTGAGGGCCCTTCTGAGCATCAGCTTCTTTGTGGCCCTAGAGCATCCCTCAGAGGACAGGACTCCCTCCTGTGGGTCCCAGCCCATCCACCCTGGTGCCCACAATGACCTTTTCTCTAGGCGTCTGCTCCCTCAGAGGCCATCCCTGCCTCTGGGTCTGTGGCCTCCCCTGTGAGGGCTGTCACATCAGCTTATAAACAAGCCGTGCATGCCAGTGACCTCTGGGCCAATGAAGGAATAAAGCACAGACCCTGCTCTTCACAAATCCTCTCTGTTTTCAGTGTTGCATCCTCCACCCTTCCTTCTGCTCACTGCACCTGGCCCTGCCTCAACCCCCTCCAGAAACTGCTCCTGCAAGTCCCTGGGATCTGCAGCTATTGGAGGCAGGCACCATCATTCCCCCTCCCCTGGGCCGCCTCCCTGCTGGGGCTCCAGTGAGGCTACGCCTCTCCCTGACATAGGCTGCTCCAGCTCTGCTTACACCTTTGGGGCTTTGCTTTCTGGGCCCTCAGCCTAAACCCAGCTCACAACCTGCCCCTGGACAATACCCTCTGCTAGGTTATGAGCTCAGTGTGTGGGTCTGTCTGGTATACTCTCCTACCACTCAACCTCAGCCCCACTGAAGACCAGACCCTTCCACTGACCACTTAAATCAGGCATCCCCAAAGTACGGCCCATGGGCCGCATGTGGCCCCCTGAGGCCATTTATCCGCCCCCCCCCCGCTGCACTTCAGGAAGGGGCACCTCTTTCATTGGTGGTCAGTGAGAGGAGCACAGTATGCGGTGGCCCTCCAGTGGTCTGAGGGACAGTGAATTGGCCCCCTGTGTAAAGTCTGGGGACGCCTGACTTAAACAGTTCCCCAACCTGCCCCTTTGCAGAACACCAACACTTCCCTGGCCCTGATCCAGGTTCCCACCTCTGGTCTGGACTCCTCTCAGCAGCCTCCTCCTCACACTTGTCCCCTTCATCTCCTCCCGGCACATGACAGCAAAACGACCTACTTAAAAGCAAGTCTGGTCCTGTCCTGCCCCACTGAAAGTTCTTCAGCATCTCCCAGTATATGTCCCAATTTGGGGTGGGTCTACATCTAGGCGTCAATGGACATCAACCACTGGGGCTGGACATCAGAAGGCCCAGCAGGAATATGGCATATTGTTCTGGAGACCAAACTTCCTTAAAGAAAGTACTTTAAGATATTACACACATCACATGAAGATAATGTGGTGTGTGTAGATTAGTCTAAACAGGTATCTTAGACAATAAATGACAACACAGGAAACACTCTCATGTACTAGTAGAAGGCCAGTGTAATGTACATATAGCCAATCTACCCTATCTCCTCACACACATGTACACACACAGGCACACACAACTCCCCTCTTCAGTGAGGCAAGTGATTCCGGAGGGCAGTTTACAAGGTGTAAGCCTTTAGGTTCAGACGTGAGTTATCAGCCTGGTACACAGAACCTGTCTACCCCCACCTGCCAATCCCTGCCTGGAACCTGATGCCCTGGCCTGCATGCTATTTCTCCCCACTAGGCCTTTGTTCAGTCTTCTTTAATCTGATACCTCTCTCCTCTATCTCATCATCTAACTCCTACTCATACTTCAAAACCCCATCCTCTGCAACTCTAAGAAGCCTTCAACAGACCTCTTAGACCTCACTGGGTGATCTACTTGGGATCCCACAATGCCCTGTATCTGTGTTCATCATTGCATCCATGTCTCTCTCTCCCATCAGCTGAGTCTCTGAGGACAAAGACCACCTCAGTGCCAGGTACATGGTCATGATGAAAATGTGTACGCATGACCAAAGGAAGGAAGGATGACAAAGTCTGTCCAACACTTGGAGCCTGAAGAGGGGTAAGTACGTTTTCTGCATCATCTCCAGGGCCGCTGCACCCCTGCAGCCCCAAGGGGCCAGCACGCACCTCTCAGCCAGCGTCTGCTGCTCATTGATGCCCACGTTGAAGAGGACGGGCTGCACCCGCAGGAGCATGCCGCTCTGGATCTCCCGGGGCAGGGCATCAAACAGCGGGCCCGGCAGAGGGACCCGCACATTAAACCCGTCGCTGGAAAAAGGCAGAGAGAGGGAGAGCAGTGTGAGGCCAGAGGGTCACCGAACAGACCACAGTGCCTGGGATGGCCAAATTGCCAACCACAGACCTTTAAGGGAGTGGCAGTAGGGGGCTGCAGTCAGAGCATTTAATAGAATGAAATAGGATAAAAAAAATTCAGAAGGAAGAGCACATTCCCTAAGATAACCAAACATGGAAACTGCTCTCTGGCTCAGAGAATTAAAACAACACTCTACCGATTTCCTGTGATGACGGGCAGCATGTCCACGGAGGCGCTGGAAGTGGCCTGAGTAACTTTGAAGGTCACGTTCCTTAAGTCCATGATCCCAAGGCTCATGTCTTCCAGCATTGCCAGCTCCTCACCTGGACATGAGAGATGGGCAGGGCTGTCAAGCAGAGGGCCCTGCTACTCTCCCCAGAGTCTCGGCAGAAGGCGCCAAGCTCAGGCCTGGCTGTGACAGGAGGGATGCCAGGTGTGGCTCTGGTGGAGGGGGGAGCTTCTTCCCCTGCATCTTGCCCCTCTGTGAGTCAATACGGCTACTGAAATCCCATAGCCACATCAAAACATGCAGCTGGTGGAAACACACGCCATCATTTCCCACCCCTTCTTGGGCAAGCACAGGACAGCAGGGAGAGATACAGAAATACATAAACTCAGAAAGCAAAGCCAGCTCTTGAAACACAAAAAGAGAGATGCTAAAGCAGCTTTGCTGTGGCTAGGCCCTCCCATAACACAGGGCTTGATATCTATTCGATGTCCTCAATTTCCAAAGATTAACAAATACTTGCTATCATCTTCTCAGAAGGAATAAATAATAAATAAGGGTAGGAAGAAGAGAGCCTTTTTGGAGGGCAATTTGGAAATATCTATTGAATTTAAAAATATTTTTACCCTCTGACCCAGCAAGTCTCCTTCCAGTCATTCAGTAGCTGCAGAAACAGGCCTGCAAGTGCCTTGTGCACAGATGCCACTGCTGCACTGATGTTTCAGAAACAACCCAATGTCCAACAGGAAGTTTACTGGTTAGTAATTAGCATCCATCCTTAACCAGAAACAACAGCAAACCAAACCAAGGGGTGTGTGTGTGTGTGTGTGTGTCTAACTGCCAGGACTGCCATTTGGCCCACTGTCATATATTTTGGACTTATTTCCATCAGCATGCATTACTGGTAAAGTGAGAAAAATACCTAGCAAGAAAGGATAGAAACCACACACCAAGCGGGGCTCCCGCTCCTGGCCCAGGTGCCTCACCGTAGGTGCTCAGCAGGCTCTCGAACTGGGCCAGCAGCCCGATGGTATACAGCTGCCGCAGAAAGCCATCGTCATGCAGGCAGTTCCTCAGCTTGATGATGAAGCCGCAGATGAGGGCAGTCAGCTGTGGGAGCATGGGATGAAGTGGTTCAGGGTCAGATGCCTGCTCACCAAATGGCAGTCAGATCATGCACAGCCCCACCCCTCCTCCCTCTTCTGCCACTGCTCACAGGGGCTTCAGCGGTACCTATTGTCCCTCCAGAAGCCCAGATGGGGCATGCCCTGGCCATGGGAAGACACCTGACACTCTGGGCTTGCTACTTCTGTTGCTCCCAAAGTGAGTGTGGTTTTGGCCCAGCTTCTGACCTGACCTATACTTGGGGTTATTTCTGGGCTGGAGCGTTCTGGAAGCCCATAATTAATTACTCAAGTGAAAGGGTCTATCTAGTCATAGAGCCATGCCACCTCTGGCTGGAAACTGAGTTAACCACAGCAAAAGACAGAAGTGAGAGACAAGAGGGTCACTCAAAGTTTCCCTAGTGGGAGATTTTCTGGGGGATGAAACAGGACTCCCCAGGATGGGTGGGGGTAGAACCAGCCCAACCCCCAATCACTGTTCGCTTTACTAATTTGATTACTGGAAACTATTAAACTTGTTACATTCATTTCAAGGCTTCACTTCTCTCAACAATGAGAGTCTTGTAAGAAGCCGCAGCGCTAAGGCACCTACTGTTTCATAAACAATGTTTGCACTGACGGCAAACACCCATGTTGCCTTCACTAAATTCCTGTGCGGTAAAAAACCAAAAGGCAGCAAAGAAGCCTGCGCCACCAATGCCCTCCCTACCTCTTCGGCACAAAATTGGCAGACTCTGCAGGTGCCAGTTCCTTGCGAGAAGCAAGGATTGGCTGCCAGGGTAGCTTTCCTGCCTATGTTGAAATTTAGACCTCTCTGTTGAATAACCTTTAAAGCAACCACCGGGAGGAAATATGACCATCTGGGGTTTTTTACAAGTGAAGTGAGAGGGAAGGGCTTCCTAAACCTGTCTTTTCTGAGCTGAGAGGTGCCCGTGGCCTCCCTTGGGGTGTTCCCGGGGCTTACGGTCTGGCAGAAGACCACGTCACGACGGTACTGCAGGCTCAGGTAGGTGGCTATGGTGGGTGCGCTGTCCTGCATGAGCAGGAATACCATGGCCTTCTTGGCCTTGTCACTCATCATGGCCACGCAGTCAGTGAGAGTGGTCAGCAGCGGGTAAAGGGCCTCACTCCACTCACCTGGGGCACAAGTGAAGGGGTCATCACAGTGAGAAAGAAAGATTTTAAGAATTAGGTTCTGGCAATTTAATAAGTCACTTGGCCCCTAACCACTGCAGTCTTCCCACTCCCCCATCTCCACCCCATCTTCTGGCTCTGCCTGGAACCAACCCAGTCTCTAGCCCTCTAGCCCTAGCTCTTTCCAGCAAACTCAAACATCAGTTCTACTCCAGTATGACCAACACATGCCTGGTCTCTGGAACCTGTTGGGGACCCTAGACAGAAATACTCCAGACAATGCCTCTGGAGAAAAATAACAAAAAAGCTTCTGCAAGTCATGACGAGGTCAGAAAATGCTTCTGTCCACAGAGACCCATTTCCTTCCACAGCACTGTAACACCTCCACCCGGAGAGGAAGGACACCAGAAAGATTCTCTCATTTCCCTTCTCTTGACCAGGGTATGAAGTCAAGTCAGAGGCTTCTCTGCCCTTGCCTAGTCTTGTGTGCAACTGTGTTCAATTCTCATCTTGCACACCTGGAGGAGGACTATTCCTCACAGCTCCTGAGTTTTCAGCCCTCAGGACTGCCCCTCCTTGCACTCACTTTTTCCCCGCCCCCACCTTCCTTCCCCAGTGCTATTTTTTCTTTTAGCTTAGTTTTCTTTTAGGAATATAGGGAAACTTTGACCCTGTACTAAAACAACATTTTAAAAATAGAACCTCAAAGGAGAAAAACAGGGTAAAAGATATTTTGGGTTTTGACTCTTTTTCCTTCCTATTTAGAAGACATTTAAAAGAGAAGGCAGGCTCTCATTAAGGTTATATTTGTAACAGGTCACTAAGACCAGAAATAGCCATTTGATCATCATCACTTGGTGAATCCACCACACCAAACATGGTGAGAAGCTGTGGAGTGAAGCCTGGGCAGCACACACCCCTCAGGGTGAGGGTTTGAGCCACAGAATGCACCAGGCCATGTCATGGCACTCAAGAAGGCCATGGGCTGTGGGAACTGTGCGGCTGCCAGAGGGTAACCTCTGCCTTAGACAAACAGAATCTGAGAGACTGAGAGAAGGGCAGCTTGGCTCTGTTCTCTCAAGCTAAATGGTTAGCACTTCACAGAGAAACAAACCTAAAGAAATACATGAAACATGCAAAAGAATTCCCTACACTCAGTGTTTGGTTAATGCAAATTTTGAAGTACATGTAGCAGCTCAGAAGTCGGAGGTGACCTAACTGTACATGCAGGCACACGAACTGTTTGTGGACAGGATTTGTAACTGTAATGGAAAAGGCAGGCTTAAATTTAGAAAGTCCACAGCAGCGAGGTCTTAGCAAATGAATCATGGTGACGAAGAACACTGGACTGAGAGGTAGAAGTTGGGTCCTGGCCCCAGCCACTGCTGAGCAGTGGTGACCACAGACAAGGCTCTCGACCCCTCAGCCATGTGAGTCCTTTTTTATAAAACGGGAGAGAGGCACTAGATAATGTCTGAGTCTCTTTCCTCCACGAAGTTCTCGGAGACCATGTTTTTGTTTCTTTGAAGAATTCTGTTGAATGTAAGCCAATTTTTGAAGTGCCTGTCAAAAACGCCAATGGCAAACAGGTTTTTGTAGCCAAACAATTTGGGGAAAGGTAGGCAGTCGTTAAGACTCCGCTTCACTGAGAAGTACATGCTCTTAAAGCAAATGTTGCCAGTTTTACTTTGCTTTTCTAGCTATCATGCATACTATGAAAAATCATGATTATTTTAATCTGAAAATGATCAAAATATACAAGTGGTCTAACTTGACTAAGCAAGCTCTCTCCATACAACCTTTTCACTTTGCCTATTTCTCTTTAAAATAAATTCCTATGAGAATGACTGTTTCACTACATTAGGAAAAAAATGAAAAAAAAAAAAAAATGTAGTAGACCGGGCGCGGTGGCTCATGCCTGTAATCCCAGCACTTTGGGAGACTGAGGTGAGTGGATTGCGAGGTCAAGAGGTCGAGACCATCCTGGCCAACATGGTGAAACCCTCATCTCTACTAAAAATACAAAAATTAGCTGGGCGTCTGGCACACACCAGTAGTCCCAGCTACTCCGGAGGCTGAGGTGGAAGAATCGCTTGAACCCAGGAGGCAGAGGTTGCAGTGAGCCGAGACTGCGCCACTGTGCTTCAGCCTGGTGACAGAGCAAGACTCCATCACCAAAAAAAAAAAAAAAAAAAAAAAAAAAAAATTTGCAGTATAGGAAGAATGGCTAAAAAGCACTAAGATGTTTATCCTGGAAAAGTGGAGATGTGAAACGTGGTAGAAGTTGAGTGTGGCATCTGCCCAGAGAAGGCTCAGATGTGTCTGGAACAATTTTTTAAAATGTCAAACAAAATGAATTTTTTTGGGCAGTAACATTATTTCTAGCCAGGATCTAATGAAGTAAAGGCACCTGGGACGCTGGACTCAGTGAAGGGTTTATACTCTTGCTTTCCTTCACTGAGACAGCTTTGCGATGAAAAAAAATCAGCTCAATGGAACAATGTCCTGAGTGACATCACTGACCCATGTTTTCATGGAAAGCTCCTTATTTAGTTCCTAACCCGTAATGTTTGCAGACTGGTAGTGAATTCATGGGTCATACTAATTTAGATAACTTTGAAGAGCACTTTCAAATCTGTACTTTGCTTCTGCATTTTCCCTTCATTAGTAGGGGTGGGAAAAAGGGAGAGTGTGTATGTCTTTTTAAGTGTATATGTTGTAGCCCGTATTAAATGCAGTTGTACAGGAAAAGCCAAAAGAACCCCTTGCAGGAACCATTTTAGTCCATCAGCATCAACTGTGGAAGAGCCATCAGTGCTTCTAGAAATGGCCCAGCTGATACACAACAAGGAAGGCTCTACCAGCCAGGCATTGTCTTGCGTGCTGCCAGGGGACCCACGAGACTTCCCATTAGTTCTGCAACCCTCAGGTGCCCAGAACTGAGAAGACTCCCTGAGCTTCTGTGGGGGCAGGTGCATATGCCACCAGCCTTCTCCTGGCCCTAACTGCTGGGTATAGCCCCAGGCCTCAGCACTGCTGAGACTCAGGCAACAGTCAGCTTGATCTGAAGGCACTGGCCAGCCGTGGAGGTCAGCTGAGGCCTGAGAAAGAGGCATGGGCCCAGGAGAGGCAATGGAGGAGACCAAGACCAACTGTCTGTACATCTACCAAGGCCTCAGTAACCTTGAGGGTCCCGTGTGGTGAGGCCCAAGGCCTGCTCAAGGCAATACTCACTTTTTGGGAAAGAGAAACTGTTAAGGGGTTGAAAGCAAACTAGGAGAGTATGACGTGTCCAATCAGATTAGCCTGCCAATGAGCTAACTTCAAAGAGCACCCCGGGGTTGCTGCCAGGAGCCGCCATACTATGCTGACTCACAAGGCTGTATGGGTGGACAGGCTTCACCAGCAATGCACAGGAATAGCTTATTAGCCTAGTAAATCCCACAGTCATGGACTCGCTACATTCTAGACATCAAGCAAGTATCCTGGTGTCTTACATTTATTACCAGTCAGAAATATGCAAGCAATAGACTGACCATGCAGCTGATTTTTGGAATGTCAGAAAAAGAACGTCAAATTATATTCTTTGGGGGACTCATGCTCAAAACCACAAGCCATACCCAGGAAACTCAGTGTGAACTAGATCAGGGGTCAGCACACATTTTCTGTAAAGAGCTATATAGTAAATATTTTAGGCTTTGAAGGCCATGGGTTCTCTGCTGCAACCAACTCAACTCCGGCATTGCTGTACAGAAGCAGCCATAGACAATACATTAACAAGTGGGTAAAGTTAGTTTCCAACAAAACATGATTTATAATAGCAGGCTGTAGATAAGATTTAGCTCAGAGCTACAGCTTGCCAACCCCTGAACTAGAACCGTAAACACTGGTTTCTACATGCAAATGCAGCAAAGAGATTACATTTTTGGCACTAACTCCAACTGAGGCTCATCACAATGTCTTATAAAAATTCTAAAACTGCACCCAGAAAGTCCAAATGTGTACCTCCCTACCTCAGGTCACGTACTTCAGGAAGCCCAATGCACTCATCTAGAAAGACTTTAGAATGTAAGAGTAAAACAAATACATGTGGTAGGTCTGCCTCAGGCCACAATTTCCTCAGACCAACTAGTCCCCCAGCAAACCTGCGAAAATTGTTACATGCCTCACAATGAAGGAGGTCCTGGAATACTTTCCCAACTCTGGAACCATAAGGCAATCTTTGGTAATTTAGCTACAAAACACTACCTGAGTATTAATTAAAAGGGCATCGGCAGGAGCCTTGAACGGAAACCACGTACCTGGGCTGGACTCTTCAGGAGGGGGACTGCAATCTGCACAGAAATGGAGGGCGATATGGATGATTAAGCACACAGTTCAAACCAAGCAACTCAGTCTCAGAGCAGCTGCATTAGCAGCTTGCAGTAAGGTGGCTAACAAACAGAGAAGAGGTCTGGGTGCCTGGCTGCCTCTTCCCTAAGAAGGCTCATGAAAGTACTCCAGCTGCTCTGAGGCAACCAAATCCTCTCAGTGGTAAACAATGAGCGATCCCCAGCTTAAACATTCATGTTGCTGATACTTCAACATAAAATGCTCTTCGGGATGTGCAATCTAGCTTATTACAATGTGATAAATGCCACAGAAAAAAGCACCCACATAAATCACATTGTAGTGGCAGAGCCTCACTTTGACTTGCAGCATCTGGAAGCAAACTTGTAAGGAGAGAGACTGACCAGTACATGGAGCATTCCCCAGTCAGGCCCACCGCTCTGATTTACTGGGGAAGCCTGGGCTCAGCATCGTCTGCTGAGATCCAAAATGTTAAGATCCAGGAATGAAACCAGTATACCAAAAAAAAAAAAAATCTATGCCAATCTTCCAAATTTAAATCAAATGTTAGGTTTTGTGATTTAGGGGTAGTCTCCAATTAGAATGTCCCTTCAGGTCCTCAAAGAATACCAATTTTGATTCCATTTCACCTATACTAAGTCACACTGGGATGTGCTTATTTCAATTTTATATTTCCCTTAAAAACTAAAATTTCAAGTTAACTGGGTGCAACATCTAACAGAAAACAAGTTTGATAAAGAATCATGGAAGAAAACGTTTATGTTACTTTATGTCTGAGCTTTTCAGTTCAAAGAATGTCTTCAGGATGTGAAAATGAGGTAGTCTCAGATCCCCAAGAACAGCTGGAACCAGCTTTATGGGGATTTTACAACCTAAGTTGTAAAGAAGGGGCAAAGGATCCTTCCTCTCTAATTGTCTGTGGAAGTGACTTTTCAAACTGGCAAAGGGGAAAGAGAATACAAAGCCATCTGTAAGTTTAGGAGTTCGACCTCTTCATTACAACCCAGATACCCTGGCTGGGTGCAGTGGCTCACACCTGTAATCCCAGCACTTCGGGAGGCTGAGGCAGCAAATCACCTGAGGTCGGGAGTTTGAGACCAGCCTGACCAACATGGAGCTACCCCATCTTTACTAAAAAATATAAAATTAGCTGGGTATGCTGGCACATGACTGTAATCACAGCTACTTGGGAGGCTGAGGCAGGAGAATCACTTGAACCTTGGAGGTGGAGGTTGCGGTGAGCTGAGGTCGTGCCACTGCACTCCAGCATGGGCAGCAAGAGCGAAACTCCATCTCAAAACAAAACAAAGAAACAAAAAGAACCCAGATACCTGAGACCATCTTGTTAACAAAGACAGAAACCCACAGTAGTGTTGAGTGATTCAGAATCATGGCTCTTACATAATGGTCTGCTAATCAGGTTATGCAAGGCCTTGAAAAAATACAGACTTTTGCCTCCCGACAATCCCTCTTCTAGGATTCTGAGTCTGGGAAAGAGGAGGAAGGTCTAAGAGCCTGTTTTATGTGGTTATCCCCAACAGTTGGTTTGGGACCATTCCTGTGAAGGCATCAGCAATTAAACCCAATTTGCTAAATTCATCTTTCAAGCCAAGGGGAGAAAGAGTGGGTCTTCTCTGGTACTCTTAGAATAATGGCTTTTAACTTGTCTTAGGTCATGGAGTTGAGAATAGATAACCACTCTGGACCTAAGGGGTACAAGAACCTGGGATGTACCCATAGACCCCAGACTAAGAAAAACTTGGTCTGAGTGTCTCTTTGGGTATGAGGAGAGCAACAGTCTGTACATGAGGAAGGTAGTAGAAGTCACCAAATCCTGGTGGGGCAATGGCGGTGCACCTTGGCAGGCGGGGGTGGAGGGGTGCGGGAGACTTTTGGAGAGATGAGAAAGTGGGAAGTCTGAGAAGCCTCTGTGGTTTTGGCTGGCAGGGACTTGTCAGTGAGTCCCCAACCAAGCTCTGGCCCTGGGTGACCCTCACCTGCCAGACAGGGCTCTCTGATCAGGGCTGGGCGGTTCTGAGGCAGGGTAGCTCCTTGGTGAAAAATAAAACCAAGGACCTAGGACAGGGTAGAGAACTGAAATGAAAAGTGATGATGCCTTTTGGAGCAGTATGGAGTTATTCTTATATAATAAATATGTTGGTGTGAACATAGTTGCTCATTAAGCCAAAACAATGGCCTCAGTAACTTGGAATGGTATAAAAAGTCATGACATACCCAAGGCATGCCACTGCAGACAAGACTCACCAAAAGAAACAGCTCACAGTCTGGTTCTTTCTGATCCTCCTGCTTAACTGAGGACTGAACAGCTTCCTGGCTATGCTAAAGATGTTTAAATTAAGGACTGTCCACAGATAATTTGGTGGCATATGGTTTCATATGTTTCTTTTGAGTACTGATCAGCAGAATTAGACTCTCTCAAATGTAAGTTTCACATTCCTATTATTATAACAGCTGATTTTTATGGCACACACACAAGTCAAACCCTAAATAGCATACATAAATGCTCATTTAAATACTTTAAAACTGAATAAAAATGTTTCTATATTTAAACAATACAGGATGTGCCTAGAAAAAAATATGACACTTAAGTTAGGGATATAATCCCATCTGATGAAATAAACTAGCTCTCACATTTAAAACAGCCAATAATACTCTTCATATCTGCAGAAAAATGCAAAATCACAAGATAATAAAGCAAAAAGCAAATAATGAACTTTCTGAAAATTTTAAAAAGGAACATGATTTACATAAAAAAGAGAACATGAATAGAGACAAAATAGTTCCATGAACCAATCACAGGTGTGGGGAAGTGAAACTATAATCCCTCATAGATGGAGAGATGGGTGACGTGACAACTGTCGAGACAGAGGCTCAAGTGAGACAGTGCCCTGGAAACAGACTGCAGGCAGAGTAAAGAGGCGAAGGGCATCTTATAACCTGATGGGGGATTTGCCAAGAGGCTCTGACGAAGAAGCACGCTTACATCTTGAATGGAAGTTCCCCAATTCAGAATTTAAAAGCCCTTATCACATGACGCCTAATTCCAGCACATCTGGGCCTTACCCACTATGGCTTAAAACTCCCACAGGAGAACAAAAAGGAGGCAGAAACTAGGTCTGCAGGCAAGTCTCAGCTGCCTAGCCTGTAACTCTCCGGCTCTTATGGGAAAATGCGGGAGCTCCTTAGTTTCAGGGACCAAGGACCTGCATATTAGAAAGTACCCGTTTCCCAGCTTTACGGCCATCTGCAGGACAGTGTCCCGGTTTGCTGTGTCTCTGCAGACACGAGACTGTTCAGAAGTGTGCTGCTTCATGCCAATGTCCTGCCCTGAAGGGTCCTGCCAAACTACCCTGACTCAGCCCACCAGAAGCCCAGGAACAGGGTCCCACTCTCTGACTGTGTTACCAAGTCCCAAGGCAACATTCCTCTGCTGGATGAGAGAGTGCTCAGCCAATGCCAACCAGGTTTTAGACATGTCCACTGGATGAGAGCCAATACCTCTCATCCAACTGTGTCCCTGCACAACTCCCCTTTCCCTTTCATTCTATCAATTCCTAACGCCCTAGACCAGGCATCCCCAAACTTTTTACACAGGGGGCCAGTTCACTGTCCCTCAGACCGCTGGAGGGCCGCCACATACTGTGCTCCTCTCACTGACCGCCAATGAAAGAGGTGCCCCTTCCTGAAGTGCGACAGGGGCCGGATAAATGGCCTCAGGGGGCCGCATGCGGCCCGCAGGCCATAGTTTGGAGACGCCTGCCCTAGACAATCACATCAGAAAGGCATCGGCAACCTGGCCTCCTTCAGGTTCTCAGATTGCTTTACAAACCTGAAAAGTCCAGGAGCCCAACCCTTACAGCCATGGTAATGTGTCCCAGGAGCACCCTGAGATTCTGACTGGCAGAGATACAGAATCACACACAGGCTCCAGTTACATGGAAGTCAACCAGAGAGTCTACTCTCACTGCCCATGCTCTAGGCACTGGGATGCCCCTGCTCCACCTGGCAGCCCTCCCTGCAGTCTGCATGGGAGAGGAGGGCATGGAGTCAGAGACACAGACAAACAGAAGCAGCACAGAGTGAAGTGAAGGCAGAGTGGAGGAAGCATGGATGCATACGCACGTGTGGTCAGGTGAGGATGGCATGCAGCGGAGGGCATGGTGGAGGGGCATGGCGAGGAGGGGACATCACAGAAGGGGTCTTCTGGTCTGATCCAGTAGGCGTGGTTGTCCCGGTTACCTTTCTTGCTGGTACAGCTTCCTGCACAGGGGAAGACGTCCTCACAGCCCTCGCCATGCAGCCGCTCCTTCTGCAACAGCTTGTCCACACGCTGAATGATGCACTCCAGGCTCTTGTCCACATTCAGCCACACTTTCTCCTTCCAAATCAAAGAGGCCTGTGTGGGTCAGCTCTCCCAAACAGAAACACAAACAGAACACAAACCAAATCGCCCTCCATGGATCCCCTGCCCGAGGCTTCCACACTTATTAAAATATCTCAAAGTTTAGAAATATAAAGATGATTCCTAATTCCCCATGAAAGTTTTATTTGCTTTTTAATGATGAATCAATGTCCTGTGGCCACTGTTTTTAGAGTTTGGGATATGTTTGCTAGTGACTCTTCTGGAGGTCAGGTGTGCCTCCAGCGCTGCCTGAAGGGCACTGCAGACCTCCTACAACTAACACACGCAGACAGGATGGAGGCCTCCCTTTTGATGGAAGGGAATGGAAATTTGGGATAGGAGAGGTGGGGAGGAGGTGAGGGAGGTCTGGGAATGATTTGCAGAAACACACACAGCCTATAGGAAGGCACTTTGCTGCTGATTAATAGTTCAGTACTTGCAGGACAATGCCTCTGAGCAGTAGTCCCAGTAAATGGCAAAAACAAGTTGTACAATGTGTCACTCCCTCAAGAAACACAGATCCTTCCCCTAGTGCCAATTCTGTGAGGAACAATAATGTGATGTAATGTCAGGGCAAGCAGCTCCAAAATCCACACCCACTTGCCCCAGCACTGAGCTCCCACATCCCCAAATACACATAGCCCTGGAAAATCTAACAGCACACAGAGAACTGAGGAAGCAAGAGAGGGCTGACTGCTCTCAAGCACTCCAAGGCCACAGAAGGCACAGGCAGCAGGGGAAGAAGACCTCCAACAGGGCAAAGGCTCAGGAGGAAAACCCACTTGTTTCTCTCCATCCAGGTCTGAGGCTGGCCCTGCCTCCAGCACAGGCCTGCCCCTATCTGGACACAAGGGTTTTAAAATAGTCTCCCTCCCTGCATCATAAGCCAAGGAGCCATCCAGGAAGGAAACCTGGGACTTGTTCACAGCAGCCAAACCTTGAGGCACCTTGAAGAGGCAGAAACTGGCAACAGTCTTTGTGGTTTCCAGCCCAAGTCCAGCAGTGGGATGACAGCCACAGCAGCAGACTCACCCACTCCTCCTCGTGCCAGTCCACCTGCAGGGAAGATCGGCTGTTTCTCCCCGTCCACCGGGCCATGAGGGTGTCCTGGTCATTTCTAAGCATCACCTGCTCCTCCTCAGTCGAGGTGGGGGAGGCCTTGGAGGCAATGTAGTCAGGTCGCGCGGCATTCAGCCCATGGATGGAGTTGGCCAGCAGCTTGCAGTCGCAGACCGTGACCAGCTGCCGTGTCTGCAGGTGTATGTAAACCAAGGCTGCTGAGTCCAGGCCAGAGGCTGGGGAGGCCCCTGCCTTATCTCAGAAATGGAGAATGGGCCTAAGACCAAGCAATGCTTCCCTCTGCCTTTCTCCATAGGGCAAAGCAACTGAAGGGCTGCATCCCTCAGGATGTCTAAATACAAAGACTACCATGTGGCCCACTTGGGCTGAATCTTAGCAAGAATTTCCCACCAAGGAAGAGGAGAGGAGGCTGAGAAATCTCTGATATTCTCTGATCGCTGCCTGCCTCTGACCTGTGGTTGCTAGGGAAGGGGCCTAGAGAGACAGCTCACTGCCCCAGCTTTGACAGACTTCCTGGCCTGTCCTCCACCTTCCAGGGGGCAAGTGTCCAGGGTTCAGGCCTTACTTTGGTTCAACTGTGGAAGTCTTATCTTTTGCTCCTCAGGATCTAATACCTCAAGTTCTGGGCTCTGGGTAGCTGGATTCGTGGCACATGTTTGGTTTTGGAGAATTCTGCATGCAACACAGGATCTGTGGTTCATAATGTTACTGCTGACAACTACATCTTTCTTTTTCAGTAGATCTATCCCCACCTCTCACTCTTTATGCTCTCTGTCCACCAGGCCATGAGGGTGTCCTGATCATTTATGTTGTGTGAACATTTTATGCTGTATGAACACATATGAAAGATATAACACATTCTGATCAAGAACAGCAGCTCAACAGCAAAGTGTCAGTGGGGAGGTGTAGTCAGAATCTGTGTGTGTGTGTGTCTGTGTGTGTGTGTGTGTGTGTGTGTGTGTGTGTGTGTGTGTGAGCGTGTGTGTGTGCACTGAGAGGGAGACTGAGTAATGGGAAAAAGCATTATCCATAAAAAGGATCTGATACAGCCACTTCCTCAGTATGAATTAGTACTTATATTTTTTTAAATCAGGATCAAGTTATGGCTAAGTTGAAGCTGGTTTACTGACTATATATAAGCAAGTAAAATTATATTGTTCTTATCTTATGTCTGTATGATAGCTCAGTTTCTGTTTTCAAATTCAACTACAATAGAACTGTGGCAAAAAAAAAAAAAAAAAAAAATAGTGCTGGTGAGGCTGTTACTGAGAAAGCAGTGGAACTGTATCTGCCCCAACAAAATGAGCCCCATAAACTTGCTGAAGGGCACAGGTACCTGAAGCTGCACCTAAGAGTCATGAACCCTGGGCTCTGTTCTTGGCCTGTCCAGCTCTGTGGACAAATCATGAAACCTCCCTGGGCCTTTGTGGGAAATGGACGTAAGGTAGACCTTCAAAGTCATCCCAATGTCACTCTCTTTGTGGACCACCTTAGATACACCTGGGCTGCCCAGTGGCTTCCAGAAACTCAAGGAAACTCCCAAGTTCACATGCAGCAGGGTACCCCTCCTACCTTGTCTGCCAAGATGGCGAGCGTCCTCTCAAGGCCAGTGGCAGATCTGTCCTTGGCTGCCCTTGAGAGCCGCTCTGCGTAGTAACTAACTTGGGTTTTCAGGGTGTTGATCTGGGCAATGATCTCCTTGGCTCTGACAACATCCTGTGGTATGTAGATTATGGACTGGCAGCCAGATGATGTACTGAAAAGAGTAAGAACAGATTCTAAGGGATTCTCCAGAATCTGAAAAGGACAACAGCATCATTCCAACCCCAGCCACAATTAACCCTAAGATAAAGTGTTCTGTGACTCAGGGATGTTCTCCTAGGCTACTCTAGTTGTTGATGAGCTGTGTCCCTGCACAACTCCCCTTTCCCTTTCATTCTACCAATTCCTAATGCCCTAGACCAGGCGTCCCCAAACTTTTTTTTTTTGAGGCGGAGTTTCACTCGTTACCCAGGCTGGAGTGCAATGGCGTGATCTCGGCTCACCGCAACCTCCGCCTCCTGGGTTCAGGCAATTCTCCTGCCTCAGCCTCCTGAGTAGCTGGGATTACAGGCATGTGCCACTATGCCCAGCTAATTTTTAGTATTTTTAGTAGAGACGGGGTTTCACCATGTTGACCAGGCTGGTCTCGATCTCTTGACCTCGTGATCCACCCGCCTTGGCCTCCCAAAGTGCTGGGATTACAGGCTTGAGCCACCGCGCCCGGCCCCCCAAACTTTTTACACAGGGGGCCAGTTCACTGTCCCTCAGACTGCAGGAGGGCCGCCACATACTGTGCTCCTCTCACTGACCTAAGTACTGACCTAAGTACATCTTAGGAGATTCTTTCTGGCTATATGGCAGAAGCTTGAAATATTAAACTATGACTCAGTCTTTCAGCTGTATTTGAACGTACCTGTATTTTTACTTGTGTATTTAAATGTGTGAACAGGTACTAAACAATCATATCTGATAATCACCCAAATGATCGTAAGCTTTCACCTCAGAACCTTGTCTATTAACTTATAAGCAGTACTTAAGTAGAGACATGGAGGCCCTTTACAGAAGGGGCCAGGTTATCACAGTGTAGCAGAGACTGCAGTGGGTGTGGCCTTTGTCCCCAAACAACCAAAACCTATTTTTTCATTTGGTCAATCAGCAATTCAAGCTCCTTGTGAACACACCCACAGTTGTTCTTCCTCTCACTTCTGACCCCAGTAGTCCCTAGAAAATTGGGTTTCCTTTCCCTTTCCTTTGCTCTAGGACTTCCCTACTTTGAAAAATAATCATCAAATGAAGAGAAAGTGGAGAACGTGGCAAGCCAGAGGTGAAGCCAGACTCCTCAGTGGCTTTGAAACTTTGGCTCTCCCTCCTTCCCACCTCTTCACCACCAAGCAGCGTGTGTGTCTAGGGATCTGATGCCAAGCCCACAGCCCAGCCCCTTCCAGAACAATCAGGAGGCACTGAAGGACCAACTTCAAGTCCTCCTGCTATGGGGGCTGACCAGCGTGTTGGGTCCAACTAAATAGTGATGATAAATTGCATGTCTCTTAGCCAGGATCCCAATCAATCCAATATTATAAAATTATTTTTCAGACCATGAGGAAACTGAAGAAAGCAGGAAGAAGTGCAAGCCACCAATGCAGAGGTCTCCTCCTAAAATTTGAAACTGTGGGCTCTGGCTGGAATGGGTGTCCCTTCACTCATGGGATGAGGGGTCCTGACTGGTCCCTAAAGGGCTGCCCTTTGAATTCTGGGGAAGAGCAAGAAAGAGGAGGAGTGAGGGCACCTCTCACCACACCCTCCATCACTTCCCCTGGAGATGAGGGTCACCTTGGTCAGGGCTGAGAACCTTCCCCACTGGCCCCTCTCCAGGGAAGTCCCAAAGTGGGTCATCAAGAAACCAGTATTGCCCCTTCCCTTGCTGGATTATGGGGCAAACATGCAAAAACCAAAAACCAAAGCACCCCAGAAAGAAACACCACCACAACAGGCTCACACGCCACAATAAAAAACAATGGATGTGCCAGAAGCCCATGCAGCAGACCGCAATCAAGCCCGTGGGCACAACAGGAGTCATTCCATAGCATGATATACACACGACTACTTTCCAATCTGCAATCACTCTTCCAAATGAATAGCTGCCTTCTAAGATCATTTCATCTTAAAAATACAATCTCAAAATAGGATTTAAAAAAATCAATTCGGCCAACCATGGTGGCCTATAATCCCAGAACTTTGGTAGGCCACGGTCAGAGGACTGTTTGAGCCTGGGAGTTCAAGACCAGCCTGGACAACATAGTGAGACCCCATCTTTACAAAAAATCTAAAAATTAGCCAGGCATGGTAGCTTGTACTTGTGGTTCCAGCTACTTAGGAGGCTGAGGCAGGAGGGTCAACTGAGCCCAGGAGTTTGAGGCTACAGTGAGTTATGATGGTGCCAGTGTACTCCAGCCTGGGTGACAGAGCAAGACCCAGGCTCCAAAAAAAGTGGGGACAGGGGAGGAATCTTCCCAGGCCCCCAATATTTAGAGAATATATGTAAAATGCGCTGTATGTAGATCTACTACTGTGTAAAAAGGTGACTGTGTATTCTTCAACAAATATATACCCTCTGCCCAGGCCAAGAGAAAAGCACCACCATATACTCGCCCTGTGTTCTCTTAAGTCATGTTTAATGACGGTACCTGGGACTCATGCATGGGACATACATCACAGGGGCAAGAAAAGGCAAATTTCAAAGAGGTGTTGTTTAGGATGATGAGGAAAATACAAGCATGTGTGCTCAACTACCTAGTTTTAAAAAGCAGGAGGCCATATGAAAGCAGTAGGATAGAGGTGTAGACATGAAGCCCAGGGGCAGCCCCAAAAGGCAGTGTCCTAGGTATGGCCCTTGGACTTTGCATTAGGCCCATACCTCAGACCTGGACCTACCCAGAGCTGGGGTCATGAGCTAAACTGAAGATGCCATAAGAACGTAAGGGTGGGGTCTTGCAGCACTGGCCAGGAGCTGCTGGTAACTGCTGAGCAACAGTCACTCTGAATATTAGAAGAGCAGGATCACCTCTGCAGAGGCTGAGCTCCCTGGAGCTGGGTTCTGTAAGGGCAGGAGGACTAGGAGGCTGGGTCCTCTCTGCCTGGGATTTAGCCCCTCACAGTCTCTAGGCAGGGACACTCCTGCTTATAACCCTCCCCACTCCATTTCCTCCCTGCTTCAGGGACAGTCTTGTATATGGGGAGCAGGAAGCAGAGGGGGAAGGGGTAACCAGGCCCAGATTGGGCTACGGAGAGTCCTCAGAGGGAACTCAGGAACTAAGAAAGTTCCCCAGGAACAAGGGTCAACCCAGAACACCTGGGTTGGGATTTACCAAGGAGCAGGCCTTGGGGACAGCTGGGCCTTTGGATCTCCCCTTCCATTCCCCTTCCTCTGCACCCCTAGACTCAACCCCTAAGTACTTTATTTGTCTTGTTATGGGAAAGATCAGGCCTTGAAAGAGGCCCCAGTAGAGAAAAGTCAGGGAGGGGAGGCTGAGAGGCCACTTCCACAGAAGTAGCATGGGTCTCCTCCATTAGAGAGGCAGGTGCAGCAGCAGCAACCATCCCTAGATGCCCTCCTCCCTCCCTCATACCTAAAGTACCCCCAGGGAAAAGGACCCCCAGGGGGAATCTGAGATGCCTCAGCCCCATGGGTCTCAGGCTCTGAGGCAGCAGCATTTCTTGAGGGGCTAAAGGTGCCTCTGAATAAAGCACCACTGTAGAGCCCATGTTATGGGCCTGGAGCAGCAGTAAGAAAGCCCAAGCAGTAGACACCTCAGTATCTAACTGCCATCTAATTATCTGGTGGAAAAAGTCACTCAGTTGCATTAAATCTTGGTTTGCACCCACCCTTAGGGGTAAAACTGACCCCAGTAACGGTGTTATTAAAATCAGCATAAATTAATGAGTATCATGAAGATGTAGGCTGGCTTCATTCATACCAGAGGTAATAGTGAAGTGAAAACTGGAAAGCCACAAGGATTCCTGTGTAAGAAGACAGAAAGGAGTTACCAGCTGCACCCAGAGGCTGACGTAAGAACCCAGCACTCAGTGGCTTCTTGGGTCGGGCCCTTCCTCTTCCTTAGAGAAAGAGAACTAGGTCCTTTTTCAGAGTGAGCACAGCAACACCCAGCTGCCAAGTTTTAAAGGTAAAACAGCAGACTGGAGATTGGCTATTCATTATTAAAGAACATTGCAGTTGGAAGAGAGAACTGTCTACGAGGTGTATAACTAGGAACCATGGCAGCACCGTGGGGGAAGCCGGCACGAGGCGGGGTGGGGATGGCACAAGCTTTCTCTGCATGAGGGTGAGACCCAAACAGACACTCTCTCCACAGACAGAAAACTCACCAACACTCCTCAAAACTGCTAAAGAAAAGAACCAAAATGAAGTATTAGCAGTTTGTTAGCAAATACCAAATGCAGAAACAAAAAATTTAAAAGCCAAGTTATTTTTTGTCAAAATACTTAACATTACTTGTTGAGGTCCCAACTAGAGGGATGACTACAATTATGAGCCCAATGTGCTTATTCCTTAGAGCAGTGTCACTACCTGTACTCAAGCCCCAGGGAGACATCCCGCCTCGGGCCAAGTTACCTCTACATTTAAAGGAACGTTCAAATCATGAAAACTGTATCTATAAGCGGCTTGATGGCATTAGTAGGAAATCAAATAGAAACTTATATATTTGAAAAATACTAAAGAGGTATTAAGAAATAAATTCTAAAGTTAACATGCAGAGTTATCAGGAATCAAAACTCCAAGCCTCCTGGGAAAAAGACAACCAGGAGGCCCCCTTCTTGACTGGCCACACAGAGTGACCGTGCGTCCTCCTTCAGGGCCCCAAGCCACCTCAAGCTGCACGCTCACAGTCTCCACAGGGCAACATGCAATGGAGCAACAGACACGCTTTCTGGCTGGCTGTGCAGAGCTGTGGTGGGCACAGGAAGCTGCGTCTTCTTTCTGTTTCCTAAAGGGACACTGGAGTCAGCGAATCCTAAGGCAGGTGTGGTTACCTGGTTTGTCTGCTTAGGGAAGTGCCCTTGAGAATGAATCAGGCTCAACCCCCTAGGTTGTCTGGGGGCCTGAATTCCCCTTCCCCGTTTATCCTCCCATCTCCAGGACTGACTAGGCTCTGGGCTGACTCCAAGTAGCCTGTGCACATATCTGAATGGTGACTTCTCACAGGGCATGCTTTTCTGTTCCCTGTTCAGCCATCCAGCCTTGCCCATAATCAGTGATGCCCCTAGCTGCCTCCCTGACCCCCTCAGCCACTGATCTGACCTTTTGCCTCCTTCCTGCTCCAGTCCAGAGTCAGTTTTCTCAAATCACATCCTGACTCCCAGCCGCAGCAGCATAGTCAGGTGCCGACCACCAGCTCCATGGCATGAACCAGAGCTCTTGGTCTGACCATCCATAGAATTCTCATGATGCTCCCTGGGCGCTCACCTTCCCTCAAGCTGCTCCATGCTTGCTTGCTGAGTCTCACCCTCCCCTCCCCAGCCCACATGCTGCAAAGGCTGTTGAGGGATGCCTCTACTTGTTCCTTCCCACCTCAAATATCACTCTGCAGTCCTACCTCTTCTCCTGGCCCTTCTGATGAACTGCCTGCTCTTAACTCATTCCATCCTGTCAGAACCCTTCTCTAGCACTGTCTTCCTCTCATTCACCTTACCTCACCCACTTGTCTTTCCTATAAGCCCAAACACATGCTAAGTCATAATTATTCTCCTTAAACCAGAGACCTCATGCTACTTCCTCTATTTTGCAGTCACAGTCCAAGGACCTTATTGGTCATCTAGACTCAACACCCCCACTTCCCGAGCCAATGAAATCTTCACAGGTGATGCTTTAGAAGATCATCAATGCCTCCCACACATCTAATACAACAGCTTGGGTTTATTTCTGGCTCTCTCCCTCCCACCCCTGGGGTCTGGGTGGATGCCTTGCTACATGTACCCCAGCATCCTCAGCATACTTGTTTCGGGCTTGCTGACTTGCCTACTCCCAAGCGAGGCCCTAAGCCCCTGGAACCAGGCCTAGATCTGCTGGGTGCTGTAGCCCTGGTCACAGAACAGGCTGGCAGCAAGGCTAGCCCTCTGACTTAGCTCTCCTCCCCTGGCACCGTGCACCTGGCCACATTTCACCACATGTACTGCTTCTGCCATGTCTTTGTCTGAAATGACCTTCACCACTCTCACTACCTCGAAATTTCTTGCTCAGGACAGTAGCTCTGTACAGCCACCTGAATCTTTTAAAAACTGGGAATGTTTATCAATGCTGTCTTCTAGGAAATAACGTGCTCCAGGCTTGATGCTTCGACTGGCCAGGGACTCTAAAGGACACTGAGCCAGCAGAGTCCACAGAGGGTGGTTGCCTGGAGCACCACTTCTGAGGTGGATCACAACCCGCTTCTCATTTTGCAGGACAGGATCATTGATCCAGTGCCCTCATCACCCACCCTCAGTCACACAGGCACAGAGCAGCACAGGCTCCATAAGGCAGCTCCTTCTACCACGCAAAAGCAGGTCAGATGGCTGGATGTTTTAATGGTCTTATTTTGATTTATTTTAAACTGAGAAAAGAAGCATCAGAGAGCTGTACGAGGACCATGAACCCTGTCTGGCTACTTACTGTTTCTTGGTCTCTTCAAATTTGTGCAGCTTTTTGCGGAGACCTCCTGACTTAAAACCTTGGCAGTGTGCTGCTGGCGCCCCGATGGTGACGATGTCGTAGTTCTGATCTGAATGACAGAAAGCTCTCCTCCATTACTCTGGGCTCAGGCCTGTGGACGAGCCAGCTACAGGGATATGCACACAAGTCTGGAGTCCTGTCCCTCTAGCCCACTGCCGTACAGCCTTTGGTTCCCCTGATCCCACAGCCCAGGATGCCCAAGGGTCTGCTGGAGCCCAGTGCCATCGCCTCAGCAAAAAGGGATTCAAAACGTTTCAAGTGGAGCTGCATGGGCTGCAGGAAGCCACCCAGCAACTCCTGTTTGCATCCCGCCTCGGAAGAAGGGCCAACAGGCAATTTTCTGCCACAGAAATACAAAGGGAAGCTGGAGGGAGGAGAGACAAAAGGAAGGGGTATGGGCTCCTGACAAAACCACCTTGTGACAAATCTCTCCTCTGAGCTACCCAGAACACACAGGGCAATTGGGAGATGTGGGGCACTCAGAGACCACGTACCCAGAGAGAAAAGCAGCAAAATGTGATTCAGCAAGAGGGAGCAGAAAAAGAAGTACCTGATCCTCCATCGTCTTGAACTCTCATCCTTTGTATGTGCAAGTTTGTGGGAACAAATTCTAACTTTTTATCTGCTTTCAAACTGCTTGCTTTAAACGAGGGCCCTAAAAAATGGAATAGAAGAAGATAAAGGCCATCAGCATGTGTGCTGCATTCAGGAGTTGCAAGTAGAAAATAGAATTCAGAGGATGCTGTGCATATAAGCAGGTATGGATCAGCAGTGGCCCAGAAGGTTCTAAGTTGCCATGCGCACACTTCATTTCCATGTGGCAGATGGGTGAGATGTCAAGGGCAGCCCACTGGCCAGGAGGCTGGTTCTGGGTGTTCAGGTGGTGAATGGTGCCAGGGAGAAACAACTTCAAAAGGCTATGGTAACAATGCTCTGTCTTCAGTGACTCAGCTCTCTACTGAGAGATCTGATACAAAAAATGTGATTCTGTGCAGCACAACGTCAGCATTACCATACTAAGCAAAGGGATGCCAGAGACTGCCTGCTCTGACTCCAGAGACCACCATCATCAAAGAACTAAGAATTTGGTTTGGCTAGAGCAATACATCTCAACTCCTAAAAGTGATCAAGAGGGCTTCTCATCCCCACAGGCCCATCAAGATGAACAAATGCAATACAGCATTGATTCCAGCCTTCTGACACACAAACATCAATATGTTTCCCCGTTAACACTTGGTTGGTTAAGGAGGCTGGACACCATTTTATAACAAATATCCACAATCTTGTTTCTGTATTCAGAATCTATAACTAATTAAATGGAGAATCACATGCCTACAAAATAAAGGGATTACGAATTAAACTGAAAACAAGAAGAGTGGAAGAAATAAAGATTTTATCTAGTGAAAACCATCAACTAATACAGCTAGTATATGAATCACAGACCAGCCACTGTGTGTCTCCAGTTTGCCACAGGAGATGTTTTCTATGGCCTGATACCTAGGGTGCAGTCCACAGACTGCAGCATGAGCATCCAAGAGCCAGTGAGAAGTGCACAATCCCAGAGTGCCAATGTAACACAATTCTCAAGACATCTGGGTGCACATTGAAATCTGAGAAGCTCTGCTCTAGAAAACTCAAGGTTGCGTGGGTTTCATATTTTCCCAGGTAAGAGCCACCAGGCATGGGTGAGTCCCTCAGTTCCTTCCTGGGCAAATGCTGCCGTTTCTCCTAGTCAGACCCTCTCTTCAGACTCACATCAAGGCTAGGCAACACTGCCTCGTCAGTCCTGCATTTGGCTTCTTCTCTTACAAGTTCATAGACAGGTTCATATGTTCTGTGTCAAAACCACATTAAGGGCTTATGGTTGTCCTTAAACCCTGAAATTCCATTATGTAGAGGAATCAAAGGGAAGAATCCAAAAATTGAGAATAATTCAAAATGCTAAAGCAATATATAGAGTAATGAAATACCAAAAAATTCATTCCACTTGGAATAAAAAAGGAACAAGTTAAGAACAAATTTCTGAATCTGCCCTGAGAGCATTTTGAAAATCAAATGGCATCGTTCAAGAAGAAACAGTGAGGTGTTCATTCACATTCCACTGTTTTTTGAGCCTTAAAATACAGAGCTCCCCCTTGACAATGTATATGTTTAATAAAAGTTATTATTTACTCTTTAAGCTGGTAAATCTAGAAAACTGCTTTGTTTCAAGGTGAGGGCCTACATCCTTTTGGTCACTGTACTGACATTAGTTCAAGATGAAGAAATAACACGAACCAGCAATAGCCCGTGATTTCACCTCCCCTAGATTTCATTCTACAGAGGCTGTTTTGGTAGATGACACCATAGGAGGACTCTTCACTGTAATTTACAGATTTGTGTGTGTTTTTTTTTTGTTTTTTTTTTTGAGACGGAGTCTCGCTCTTGTTACCCAGGCTGGAGTGTAATGGCGCGATCTCGGCTCACCGCAACCTCCGCCTCCTGGGTTCAGGCAATTCTCCTGTCTCAGCCTCCTGAGTAGCTGGGATTACAGGCACGCGCCACCATGCCCAGCTAATTTTTTGTATTTTTAGTAGAGACGGGGTTTCACCATGTTGACCGGGATGGTCTCGATCTCTTGACCTCGTGATCCACCCGCCTCGGCCTCCCAAAGTGCTGGGATTACAGGCTTGAGCCACCGTGCCCGGCCCCAGATTTGTCTTTTTAATTAAAATCAGAAAAACCCATATTTGAAAGAATTCACACCTACATGAGAAGTTATTTTTAAAAATCCATTAAAGTGTCTGTCAGTGGGAATGTGTAAGTGACCCTGTGTTCCAGATCTCTGGCTGGGAAATAGTGTGAGTAAGTGAGTGCATGTAGTGATGGGATGGGGATGCACCCACCTTTGTACTGATGGAGGTCAGTCAGGTTCTCCTGGTATGTGAGGATGATGGTCTGGTATTGGGTAACAATTTGGCGCCGGAGGCTCTCCCAACAAGGGGACAGTTCCCCCAACTCCTCCAGCTCACACACTCTGCAAGCAAGACAGAGATGCATCAGGCTGTGGGCTAACTGGTTTCCCTGGAGAGCCCCAAGAGGCCTACCCAGGACAGCAGCATTTGCATAGGAAGTATCACAGATGCCCAGGGTGGGTCAGGACAGTAGATACACTGGCCGTCTAAAGAGAAACTGGGTGGGAGGGGAGGACAGACAGCTACATGAAAGGCAGACTACTGACCACGTGGAAGTGTGTCTAGAGAAGCTTTTCACAGGAACTCAGTCGAATGTTCAAGGGAGACTATGTGGAGGTGGGGACAAGGTGACAGGCTGCTGGGGAGAAGATTTGCCCTGGCACTCTGGAGACCTGCAGGGGACCTCAAGCACAGGCTCAAACCACAGCCCACCTGAGTGTGGGCTAAACAATGTGTGATCCTCCCAGAACAGAGAGGACCGCAGGCTTGAGAGTAACTGGCCTGGGCCACTTCCCCTAGGAGGCTATCAGGACAGCATTTCTCATGGCCTCCCAGGTTCTCCTGAGGTGTGGGCCCTCTGCCCTCCTCCTGAGAAGGGAGCTACAGAATCTAAAATCACTCAGCTGTAGCCTAGAGGTGGCACCTCAGCAGCGGAGTCCCACAGATCGTGCTGCAATCACAAGCCCTTCTGTCTCACTGCTGTCCTTTTTGGGTATGGGACAAGTACTATGGGAGCTGGCACCTCTGGCTATTCTTCCTTCCGTGTCTATGTAAGAGAGGAGCTGTCTGTACCTAAAAGTGGCCCGCTGTGTACTTGTGGATGAAATCAGGTCTGACCTTGTCTTTATGTGTGTGTGTGACAGAGGCACAAGGTAACAGAAGGGGGAAGAGTAAGAGGAGGGAGAAGAGAAGAAAAAGAGGAATTGTTATCTCAAAAAAAAAAAAAAAAAAAAAGGCTGTATAAGAACTGAAATACAAAATCCTTAGCTCAGCAATGAAGAATAGCTACACAATCATAACAGTGAAATCACAGGATGGATTTAAAAACAAAAAGGATAACCAAATTAGGAAAATGGGAACTGGGAAGGTATAAAAGGCCAAACTCTTAGCATAGAAAATTGGTGGCTAATCCCTGAAATTGATTAATGAAGAGAACCTTTTATACATATATTTAGAAATATATCAGTAAACACTAAAACTCTCAAAAAGTGATTGTTTCTGGGAAGTAGATCAGAAAGTAACGCCCCAAGAGTTATGTTTTTAGTTAAAAACCTTTCAGCACTATTTGGTTTTTTTATACTGTGCTCATATTTTCCTTTGAGAAAGAAGAAAAGCAAAATTTTAGAAAAGTTCTTAGGAAATCTAACTTGTCTAAATTGTTTTAAAAAGCTGTACCATTTTATTATTATTAAAACAGCAAAGGACACCCAGAGCAGGTAGGGCTATGTGGTCAGCCGGCTCCATGGCCTCAGGCCACTCAGAACAGCAGCTCTGTGTGCCAGGCTGCTGCTAGTTACTCTCTCTAGAATGTGTCTGCCCTGTGTTCATGCGGCTGCTTTCTACGCTTTAGGTGTTACCTTAATGTCATCATCTCACAGAGGCCAGCCCTAATCACGCTCTTTCTTCTCACAGCTCCCTTTCCACTTCCAGCACACGCTGAAGCATCTGGAGTTCCTGTGTGAGGTTCCCAGTTCTGTTTCTGACCAACCCCCATGTAAAGCTCACCAAGAAGCCTCCCGCACCGAGAACAGTGCCTGACATGTGGTTGTTGCTTTAAAAAAAATAAAAACCCATGAACTAAAGCACTTGTTAAATGAATCAACTCTTGGCCAGGCACAGTGGTTCATGCCTAGAATTCCAGCTTTTTGGGAGGCCAAAGTAGGAGGATCGCTTGAGGCCAGGAGCTGGGGACCAGCCTAGGCAATATAACAAGACCTTGTGTCTACAACAAATGAAAAAATTAGCTGGGCATAGTGGCGTGTGCTTGTAGTTCTATCCGCTCAGGAGGCTGAGGTAAGAGGATGGCTTGAGCCCAGGAGTCTCAGACTGCAGTGAGCTATGATGGTGCCACTGCACTCCAGCCTCGGTGACAGAGCAATACCATCTCAAACAAACAAACAAAATGAATAAACCCTTTAAAATTATAACATACCATGTAATGGGAAATTGAAACATGAAAACTGAAGATACATGGAAAAGTAGATTGTCACTATGTAAATATAGACAAATACGGGCAAAGCTGAGAGAAAATTTTTTTAATTAACTATTAAAAACATGTGCATAGATAAAGCAATTGGCAAAATATTGACAATTGGTGATTTTATGTGAAAAGTACCTAGGTGCTCACTGCATTATTCTTGACCTTTAAGTTTAATTTTTTTTCCCAGATAAAATATTTAAACAAAATAATTCTTGGAAAACAGCAGGATTCTGGCTGCCTTGCTTTCTTTCATGCTTCTGTTATATTGTGTTTATAATTAACATCATTTTAGGACAAGGAGAAATGACAATCTGAGACTACCCCCAAAGTTCCTGTGTTGGAAATTTCATCCTGAATGCTACTTTAAGAGATGATGAGGTCATGAGGGCACATGAAAAGATTGATGTCATTATCACAGGAATGGGTTGGGTATTGCAAGAATGGGTTTGTTATAAAACTAAGTTTGGCCTTCTCTCAAGAGCTCTCTTGCTGCATGATGCCTTCCATCACAGGATGATGCAGCATGAAGGCCCTCACAAGATGCCAGCACCATGTTTTTGGATTCCCAGTCTCCAGAACAAATATATTTTTGATCATTATAAGTTACTCAGTCTCTGGCATTCTGTTATAGCAGCAAAAAACTAAAACAGAGACAAACAGGAGACATAAGCTGCAGGGCCTGGACCACCCGTTGGGCCTCTCCTCACTTTAGGACTGACGAGATATGCCCTGGGTTGAGAGATACAGAAGGGTTAAGACCCTTATGACCACAGGGTGCTGACAGGCCATATTCAGTCTTCTGGAGCCCTTATCTCTATGGCCCTAACCTAGAAAACTACTGATCTGGGCAGCTAGGATCAAAGAATTACCAGTTATTTCTAACATTCTGAAGGACTAGTAAGAGGGGAAAGAAAATAAGAGAAGGGGCCGGGCGCGGTGGCTCAAGCCTGTAATCCCAGCACTTTGGGAGGCCGAGGCGGGTGGATCACGAGGTCCAGAGATCGAGACCATCCTGGTCAACATGGTGAAACCCCGTCTTTACTAAAAATACAAAAAATTAGCTGGGCATGGTGGCACGTGCCTGTAATCCCAGCTACTCAGGAGGCTGAGGCAGGATAATTGCCTGAACCCAGGAGGCGGAGGTTGCAGTGAGTCGAGATTGCGCCATTGCACTCCAGCCTGGGTAACAAGAGCGAAACTCCGTCTCAAAAAAAAAAAAAAAAAAAAGAAAAAGAAAATAAGAGAAGGAAGGCTGGGTGTGGTGGCTCACTGTAATCCTAGCACTCTGGAAGGCTGAGGCAGGTGGATCACCTGAGGTCAGTAGGTGAAGACTAACTTGACCAACGTGATCCACCCGCCTCGGCCTCCCAAAGTGCTGGGATTACAGGCTTGAGCCACTGCGCCCGGCCCCTTCTCTTATTTTCTTTCCCCTCTTACTAGTCCTTCAGAATGTTAGAAATAACTGGTAATTCTTTGATCCTAGCTGCCCAGATCAGTAGTTTTCTAGGTTAGGGCCATAGTCATGGTAAAACCCCATCTGTACTAAAAATACAAAAACTAGCTGGGCATGGTGGTACACACCTGTAATCCCAGCTACTTCTGAGGCTGAGGCAGGATAATTACTTGAACTCGGGAGACGGAGGTTGTAGTGAGCCGAGATCATGCCACTGCACTCTAGCCTGAGCGACAGAGCAAGACTCTGTCTCAAAAAAAAACCAAAAAAACAAAAAACGGAAAGAAGAGAAGGGAGGAAGTTTTGAGTGCAGGACACATATCTGGGATCAAGTACACTCTCTTATGAAATCCTTCCACAGCAATCCATGATACCAATGAGCAAACTTTGGCAAGCCAAGGCCACAGAGCTGTAGGGGAAGAGGCTGTGTTTGTAGCCCAGTCTATCTGATGCCAGTGCTCTGCCCACTATATCTCAGAAAGGAAGGGGCACACGACATGGATATGATGAACAGTCAGTCCTTCCATGTGGCCTCACCTGGCTGCATCTTCCTCTAGTAGGAGCTTCACGAACTGCCGGGGCACGTGCAGGGAGAGCACGCTCTCTGCCATCTGCTCCAAGATCCGCAAGTGGTTACCATCGGTGGTTGGAAACCGGTACATGCGGCAAATGGCACCGCCAAACACTGAAGTGGAATGACAGGGGAGACGGGCTGCATGTGAACCAGCTGCAGACCTGCCTCATGGATTCTCCTCCCCTGGCCCTCAGGGATGCTGACACTTCAAGTCCTCTCACTGTTCGTCTCATGGGAATTAAAACAGTTATACTGAAAACCCACCAAGTGGCTAGGCCTAAACATTTCTTCCCAGCAACATACAATCTTCCTCTCCCAGAACATGAACTAACTCTAAAGTTCAAGCAGCTGGGGGCAGGGAGGCTGTCAGTCACTAACCCCATGTGAAACCGAAAAGAGTGAGATGAAGCAGGAGTCCCCACTTCCTTGGAGTGTTACTCTATTTTTTAATCCTCTTTCAAGGAAAATTATCATTGTTTTTATACTAACTCTTTATATGCTGCAAAAAGAACACAATGATAAGCAGCAGAGAGAAGTGACAATCAGGGTGCATGGCTGGGACAACTGCAGCAGGTGCGGAGCAAAGGGGACTAAGGGCCCAACTGGACACTCACAAGAGAAACAAGAGTACAAAAGGAGGAAGCTGTTTACCCGATTTCAGCAAAGTGTCCTTTCGCAATGAAGCATATTTGGATCGGATTCCTAATGCCTCTGTCAAGCTCTCATCAACGGGAAGAACCATCTGATAATGTATAAGGAAAAGCACAAGAAAACCATGAGACTCAGATGACTCCAGAGGATTTGGCAGAAAGAGTGGTCTAAATACATCATAACAGAACTCTTAAGATGAATGTCCGCCATTAATTCTATAATAAACATGCTGCCCAAGCCACAAAGTAATTCACCTCCCAGTGTGTTGAATCACTTCATGCACACACAATTCTCTAGACATGCATGGTTTCTCAGTCACTTCACCTTGTGTTTCAGTGTTCTGATGTACAAAATGAAAGGAAGAAAAGAGATGATGCCAAGGGATATTTCCAGAACTAACATTCTGGGGTTATTTTGGGTAAAATGAGACATCTCCATATTGTACAACAATGACTAGTTACCGGTGTTCGGGCTCTGAAATTAGAATTTTTCTTTGAGTGTCTGTGTGAGAGACTGTGCATGAGAGGAAGTGCAGGAGGGTGTAGCTAGAGATGGGGAGGAGGACTGGGGAAGAGGGGAGGATGAGAAAAGGTGGGGGTGTGTACCAGGCAACTGCAGGGCATGCATGTGTCTGGGAGAGGAAGGTATTAACAAAACAGGATAGATGACCTGGGTCCTAAATGCCTCTTTGCTCGCCCTCCACACCCGCCAAGTTGCCCCCTGACCGCACTTCTTCCAGCAGAGATCTTTCCTGCTCCCTCCTGCCCCCTAGAAGTGGGCAGTGTGGCGCCCAGAACAGAGGCAGGCTCCAAGGCAGCAGGGCCTTACAGGCTGAAGCTCTCTTTCCTGCTTCAAGGTGTGCCTGGGGAGAACCGGAGTGTCCATGGGAGCAGCATCAAGCAGCAGGTCCTGCCCTTTGCTGAGCACAAAGGCTAAGTCCACGACGGCCACATTTTAACTGATGAATTCCATTACTCTTTCTAAGGGAGAGGAGGAAAGTGGCAAAACTCACCCTCCCATTGACAGTGTCCACAGACCGGGTCACAGGGGGCCGTTGGTCTGACTTCTCCTCCATCTGCCAGCCAATCACAGTGATGTTACCCACACGGTCACTCTCTGCAGACCTGTGATGCACAATGTGCTTTAATGAGTGGCGCTGCAACTGTGCTTCCTTTCTGCTGAAATGCAAAGCCCTAGCCATCCTGAGTCATCAGGGTCCTGGGGGCAGCAGGGCCGAGCTGGCTGACCGGTCTTTGTGTGGACAGGGCTCCTCCCAGGCGAGACAGATGAGGAAACCACGGGACACAGTGGAGGGCTGTGTCTGAACAGACAATGCATCACAGAATGTGGACATGCTGGTGAAGTTGAAGGGGGCCTCCCCGAGGAGGAACCAATGCTGTTCCTGAGCTGCTGCCAGTGCCTGGGCTCACCCCTGCCCAGAGGGTAAGAGGGACATGTGAGGACTAGAGAACACCTTGTTCTGGCACTGGGCCCCTTCAGTTCCTTCCTACCCCACCCTCAGGCTTATATGAGCCCAAGGCCTAGGCTTGGACTTCAAGAAATAGAAACCAGCCAGGGCTTCCTTAAGCCCTTGAATTCTGATATGACACCTCAGCCTCAGTCAGCTTCACCCTGACGTCCCAAAGGGTGGCTGATGGCGGCCTGCACTCATCTGATTCATCCAAGGAGCCTGAAGACACCCTGGAACTTCAGGGTTTCTATTTATGAGGTCTCACTTAACCAGGTTCTAAATTTTTGTGTGGTCCCATCTACTGACCATTTCCTTTGTGACTTCCTAGCTCTGTCTTCGTGCCTATAAAGTCCTTCTCTGCACTTTCTGTTCAATCAGCAGTCACCTTTAGCTCCTTTGAAAAGAATGATGTCCATTTTGTACGTTTAACTCTAACCCAACTAAAGTTACCTCTGACATATTATATAACTAAATATGTTCCTCAAAGCCCTTTCCCTCACATGATCCCTCTCATTTTACCTAAGATTTTTCCTTTTTCCTACATCAAGTTCTCTATACAAACTAAGGGCTGCTGCAGGGCTCTTAACCTGTCCACTGATGAGACAGCCAACAACTGCAACACTGGCTTTACTTACAGTAAGCTTCAGAATGTCTCAATATTAAAGGAACTTAATTTTTTGTCAAATTTTCCTTGCTATTTAGGATTATTTTCCCAGATCATAGTTTTCCAATTTTTACATTATTCTGAAAAAAGAACACCATGTCTGAGTTTTGGTGGGAAGTTCCCCTAAGATGATTTGGAAGGACTGATATCCTGATACCTTTCATCTTTCTATCCAGGGATACAGTAGGGCTTTCCCATTCATTCACTCCTTCCTTCCACAAATATTTATTGAGCACCAGGCACTATTCTAGGTGTCTGGGAAATAGCAGTGAAGCAAATCAGATCAATTCTCTGCTGTCTGGGAGACGATATTCCACTGAGGAGGGGCTAAGTAATGGACAAACACACTTAGCATGATGAAGGGTGCTCTATCAGTATAGGAAGTAGGTCCTTTCCCCATCTGTCCATGGACCTCCTCATTCTAGATCCTTTTGAGGGAATAAAATTAAATACCAACCTTAGTGTTAAGTGCAACCTATGATGCCTGTCCTGGAGCAGATCTTTGACAATGAATGTTCCAGAGCCCAGTAAATACATCTGAGGAAGAAAAGGTAAGAGACAGCATTGGTGCACTTGCTTTGCTTCTGATGTAATTACCATTGGCCCCGAGAGTCCAGCTGACTGCTTCCCACAGCACCTCTCACCCTCATGTCAGAAGCCCAGTGGAAAAGCTTAGGAAGAAATTTCCAAAAAACAAAAATGCATTTAGACATGAGTTAACTTGTGAGCCAGTAGTGAAGTCAATCTGTGTTCACCTCTCACTCAAGGGATTACATAATTTTTTCAAAGGGAAGAAAATCCCACGAACTATAACACGTTACTTAACTGTTCCCTGAGATCTATCTTTGACATCATACACGGAGAGTTTGACTTGTGTCATCTGATTGATAAGAGAGTCTTGAAAGAAGGCAATACTGCTTAGAAATATAGGATTGTTGGTTCCCTAGAACAGAAAAGGAAATAAACAGAACACAGGGTTGAATTTTTTAAAAATATAATTGCTTTTGAAATACACCAACATTTTCTGAATGAGAAACTAACATTCTCACTGACTTGAGTCAATACAAATGCTAAAGGTAGCTTAAATAAATACATAACCCCCCTGCCCCCGAAAAAACCCCTGCTTTTTAAAAGAGAAAAAAGAAGTCTGACATAGACCATTACAGATCCACATACAATAAATCAACCCACTGCACAAGCTGTGCCTGAGGGCTCATTTCACAGGTTTCACACTCAGTAGAAGTAATTTTTAAAAACTGAAACAAGTTGGATGTCCACATGCATTCTTAGTTTTATAACTTAAAGTGTAGTATGTATTTGGACCTACTACTTTGGGTTATTCCTTTAAGAGGTACAAACATGCAGATGAAAGAGAGAAAATGAATGGCTTAAATGGTTTATTATGTATTTCTAGAAGCCCGTGTTTGGAATAATTAAAGTCTGACTTTTAAAAAGCTATCATTTTTTTAGGATCAGCTGCTAGTTTTAGATTATAGGTGACTATTTCCTGGCAGCTCAGCCGTGTCCTCCAGAGCCCCATAATACTACACTCTCTCTCTCAGGTACCAGATAACTATCACCACCACCATTGCTTGGGCCTCTGGCTCCATTCTCTCTCTGCATATCCAGATCCAGGTGGTCAAGCTGACTGGACAGTTCCACCAAGGTGGACTGCTGGGGCCTCACCCAACTCACTTCTCCCTCTACCCACCCTTCACTAAGGCCATCTCTGACTCCCTTTCCAAGTAGGCTAAAAGCCCAGGTGTTCTCTTTCCAAGCAGGCTAAAAGTCCATGCCTTCTTCTCTGTTGTTCTCAACTACCCCAGTGATCACGAACTCCTCTTGCAAGGTCCACCTCCAGAGTCTCTGTCATATGCTGCTTTCTTTCCATCCCCACCCCCTTCCACTCACAGTCCCACAAATGACTGTCCTATACAAGTTAGAACAACTGGTCAGATGACTCCTCTGCACAGAAGCCTACACTAGCTCACTACCATCTGCTGATAAACTCCACGGCCTGGCCTTCAAGTCTTTCTTTCCTTGCTCTCCTACTTGTGCCTTTCACACACAGACCAGGATACGGTTAGACTCCAAATCTCAATGATGCCTTCCTTGTGGTCACACATTTGCATAACCACAACAGAATTTTGGCATGCTCTTCACATGTGGTCCCAAGATTGGCTACCTGGGCATCACCTGGAAGCTTGCAAGAAATGCAGTCTTGAGCCCCACCCCAGACATACTTAAGCAGAATTCCATGAAGCCCCACCCTAGGAAGCCTGCTCTGAACTCCAGAGCCAGATAGGATCCCAACCTCTTGGTGCTCTCCTCACCTTCCTACTACTCTAATACTTCCCATACTCTGCTGTGCATAGGGGCAGCCATATTCATTTCTGCCTTCCCAACCACCAGCTGGTCAATTCCTCAGGGCAGGGACTGTGCCCTGATGGGCTCTGTATTATCCACAATGCCTGACACTATGCTAGATGTGCAGACAGCCCTCAACAAACGCTTAGAAAGCAGAATTGTTGACATGAACTTGGAAATGAGTTTCTAAGAGACTGAAAGGGTGGGCTAGCTTCCAAGATGCACAACTGGTGAAAAAGAAGAAATGCAGTTTAAGTTTGATAATTCTTCACTTTACAAATAAAACTCTGCAGAATCTCACAACAGTAACTCCTACACTTAGGGTTATAACTTATGTAATGTGCTTGATGTTCTAAAACGATTTTACAAAATTCCCCCCAGAAATGTTTATTATGTAATTTAGTGGAAAAAGTAAACATATGACACAAAACTCAAAAGGCTGTAAAAACAAAAACCAACAAAAATAGGGGTACGTCTGGATAAGAAGGTGGTTAATAGTTAATACTCTTCTAAGCTTTGAATAATGAGCACAACTCCCCCAAAGCAGCAGCCAATTGGAGGTGAAAAGAAGGAATTAGGTCTTACCTCTTACAAGGCAATGAGGCTTACAAGATCGTTGTTCAAAAACAAGCTGTCAATAGTTAAGCAGTAACTATAAAGGATATGGCAAATATAAATGCTACCCAGATGAGTAAATGTGATGAAAAATATCAATGTACTGAAAACCCACAGGAAAATAGCAACAACTCATGTAAATATGGCTTCAACTACAGCTGCACACGTAACTGACCATCATGAGACACCACTCGAGCGTGTCCCACAGCCCCTCAAAGAGGGACCAGCAGCACCCACCTCAATGATTTCCGTCTGTGCATGCTTCGTCCAGAATGCCTGAGGAGGGGTGGTGACACTCACCGCAACAAAACTATTTGGCTTTCGATCTAGCGATGGAGTATGCAGCTCACTGCAAGCTATGGAATCAAGATGGTAAAGAAACAAATCCTTTAAAACTAAATTCTCATTAGTTCTGTTTCAAGCACACTCAAAGAAAGCAAAAAAAGTAAATGACATTCAAAGAAATGATACGATCACATCATCAGTTGTCACAGGGAGATGATTTTTTAAAATTTGAAACAATCCCTTTTCAGGCGCCATCCGTGTCACCCTCCGAGACAGCACTGCCATAACTGCAGCGAATGGCTATGCTGACAGGGGCTTCCAATGTCCGTGGAGTGGAACACAAAGCCAGAAATCACACACAGGTCCAATCCTTCAAGTCTGACCTCAGTAACTATTCCAACTCTAACCAACTAAGCATAGGAGCCAGAGTCTATGAAATCCAAGACAGAGCTACCCGTGCTTGCATCCTGTGACTGCTGTGGCTGACTCTGAGCATATGGTGCCCCAGGTGTCTTGGAAAGTGGATGGATAGATGTTGGAAGAAAATTAAAAATCTATGGCAAAGTAAACAAAGCTCTTTTGTTTTTGTTTTTTTTTTAGAGTAAGCCATTGTTCATTTACAGTCAATGACAGACCACATACATGACAGTAGTCTTACAGATTATAATGGAGGTGAAAAATTCCTACTGCCTAGTGATGTCACAGCCATTCTAACATCCCAACACAAACACATTACCTTTCTACGTTTAGATACTCACTTACTATTGTGTTACAACTGCCTATAATATTTGGTACAGTAACATGCTGTCCAGGTTGGTAGCCTAGGAGCAATAGGCTGTACTATGTAGTCTAGGTGCCTAGTAAGCTGTACCATCTGGGATCCTGTTAGCACACTCTGACATGTTCACACAAGGCCTAACGACATATTTGACAGAATGTATCCCCAACATTAGCTATACACAACTATACTTATGTCTTTGTCGTATTCATTTCATGTAAGTTACTATTTCCATCCTTTGAAAGGACCTGTGGTGATCTAACTAACCACTATACACAGCTTGATCTGCTCTTTGGGGTTCTAATTATACTTTTTGACTTTAATATTGCCACACCAGCTCTCTTTTATTAGCATACACATTTGTGTGTGCATGTTTTTCTACAGTGGCTGTTCATGTAGCTATAACCCAGATGTTTACCCCAGATCTCATGTCTTTAAATTTTCAATCCCTTCTCTGTTGGTGAACATCCATCTGGAATCATCAGCCTTCTACTGAGGAACTTCTATTAGCACTGTTTATACTGTAAATCTGATGTTGACATTCTTGCAGCTTTCAAGGTTTAAAAATGTCTTTATTCCACCTTAAATTCTTGACGGAAATTTTCTCTAAGCCCTCTAAATATATTGTCTCTAGGCCTCTGTATTTTCTGTTACGAAGTCAGCTGTCAGTCTAGTTGTTGCTACTTGGAGCGTTGTATTTTCTCATAGCTTCTATAATTTCCCCACTGAGTGTGGCTTGCAGTTTTATTATGATGTGCCTAGTACATTTTCTTTTTATTTATTCTGTGAATTGTTGTATTAGTTTGGGAGAAATGCTCAACTATAAATATTGCTTCTGACCCTTCCCTGTGTTCCTTCTTAAAGATACAAAATAAATGTAATATTATACAAAATAAATGTAATATTAGACCTCTCGCTATGCTGTTTTTACTCTCCTCTGATATTTTTTCCCATTATTTTCATTGCTCTGGTTTCATTTTGGAAATTTCCTTCTTGAAAATTTTCTTTTAATTCTAGAATATCTATTTGGTTCTTTTTATGGTTTTTAGTTCTCTGAAAATGTTCAGTAATGTCTTTATTCTATTTTACCATAGTATTACAGACTGAATGTTTGTGTCCCCCTAAAGTTTCTTTAAGTAGGTCTCTCCTCTGACACAAACCCCAAAATTTATGTGTTGAAATCTTATATCCCAATGTGATGGTGTTAGAGGTGGGGACTTTCAGAGGTGATTAGGTCTTGAGGGTAGAGTCTTCATGAATGGGATTAGTGCCTTTAAAAGAAGAGACACAAGAGCTTGCTCCCTCTGCTCTGCTCTCTGCCATGTAAGAATACAGCAAGACTACATCCATCTGCAAACCAGAAGCTGGCCATCATCAGACAACAGATATCCTGGCATCTTAATCTTGCACTTCTCAGGCTCCAGAACTGTGAGCAATAAATTTCTATTTTTTAAGCCACCCAGTCTACAATATTCTGTTATAGCAGCCCATACTAACCAAGTCACATGGTCAGTAACACTTATTTTAGTGTCTGTCTATTAACTGTAATATATACAGCCCCTCTGGGTCTGTTTCTATTGTTTATTGCTTCTGTTTGTATTTCTGGTCTCCTGATGTTTCTGAAAATTCATGATTTTATGCTGAACACTATATTTTAAGAAAGATTGCATGTACAAATTATTTGAGGCCTACGATGCTGCCGCCTTTCTCCAGACAAGATTTGTAACTGCTTCTGCCTGATTCTAAGGAGCACTATCACTCTAAGATACTTTCAGAAACTTTATGGAACTGTAATCCCTATCAACACCTGCTTCTGGTTCCCCTTACTCTAGAGGTTTAGCCTTTTGGATTCTAGATCAAAGTAAGAAGGGTTTCATCAAGTATCCTTTCCCTTAACAGACCCTAGAAAACAATCCCCTTCACTTCTACACTGAGAGGCTGTCTAAAGCACTGTGCAGCCTCTGGACCTCTTGGCCTTCCTCTTGGGAACCACTATAAGCCCTCAAGGGAATAAACAGGCCTCTGCATAGAGATTCTTTACTGTCCTATCAGTTCTCTCGTCACATGGACCAGACATTTCAGATTTTTTTTTTCATTTTTTCCAGTTGTCTTTAATAGTAGACTTGATTTTTGTTTGTTACTTATCTAGAAAAAGATTTTCTTTCTCCTAGGAATTTATTAGTCTGACAAGGAGATGCCTGGCAGTTGGAACACTCTTGAGTCTTAAGCCCATTCTTCCATCTGAAAATAATTCTTCTGTTGCTTCTGGCCTGCTGCTACTCCTCTTTCCCGCCTTCTCTGCTTCTAGGTCTCCTATCAATCAAATACTAGAACTCCTGGATCTTGTCATAACTCTTCACTCCAACAATCTCTATTGCTTGATGTTTTTTCCTTGAACTGTGAGATGGTTCCTTCATTTACCTTCACAGATTTACAACAGTTTTCAGCAGTGTTGCTTTGATTTTTATTATAGGTTTCTTTTAAGATATGATTCACATACCATAAAGGTCACCCCCTTGAAGTATACAATCCTGTGGTTTTAAGGCATTCAGAATTGTACAACCATCACCACGAATTCCTTAACATTCTCATCACTCCCAAAGCAACAAATCAAACCCATTGCCCCCATTTACTAGTCCCCCAAGAAACCACTAATCTACTTTCTATCTATATAGATTTGTCTAGTTCAGATATTTCATGTAAGTGGAATCATATAGTAAGTGGCTTTTTGTATTTGGCTTCTTCAATTAGCATATTATAAAGGTTCATCCATACTGCAGCAAATAGCTGTACTTCATTCCTTTTTATTGATGAATAGCATTCAGTTGTATAAACATACCACATACTGCTTATTCATTTTTGAAGGACATTTTGATGAACAGAAAACTCTTAGCTGTCTTTTTCTTTCAGCAAGTTGAACATGTCATTTCGCCACCTGTATGACCTCCATGGTTTCTGATGAAAAACAGCTGTTACTCTTATTGATGATCCCTTATACATGATAAGTTCACTTCTTTCTTGCTACTTTAAATATTCTATCTTTGGTTTTCAGTGATTTGAGTATGATGTATCAAGTGTGGATCTCTTTGACCTTATCCTACATGGAGTTCATCGGACTTCCTGGTTATGCAGACTCATGTTTTCCATCAACTATGGGAAATTTTCTGTCATAACTTACTGAAATCTTTTTATCTTCCCCCCTTCTCTATTTAGTCTTCTTCTGGAACTCCTATTATACATATATTGGTGCACCTGATTGTGTTCCACAGTTCTCTGAGGCTCTGTTCATTTTTCTTTATTCTTTTTTCCTTTCTGTTCCTCAGACTGGACAATCTCAACTGACCTGTCTTCAGGTTTGCTGATTCTTTCTTCCATCTTCTCAAATCTACAGTTGAGTCTCCCTTAATGAATTTTTCATTTCAGTTATTATAATTTTGAACTCCAGAATTTCTATGTAGATCTCTTTATAATAGACTCTTCAAGTCTCTAGTTGGTGAGACATTGTTCTCATACTTTCCTCAGTTCTTTGGACACCGTTTCCTTCACTTATTTAAACGTACTTAAAATAGCTGATTTAAAAATCTTTGTCTACAAAGTCAAACATTTGTGCTTCCTCAGGGATGGCTTCTACTGACTCCATGGGTGTTTCCCTCTGTGTATGAGCCATACTTTTTTTTTTTGGCAATGTCTCATATCTTCTTGTTGAAAACTAGACATTTTAAATAACATAATGTGGGATCTCTGGAATTAGATTCTCCTCCTGCTTCCCCAGGCTTTGTAGTTGCTGCTTTTTTGTGTGGCTATTTCTTCAGTGCCTTTCCTGATCTAATTCTGTAAAGTAGTATTCTTTGTCATGTATGGCCATTGAAGTGACTCCTTCATTAGATTAGTAATCAGACGACTGGACCAAGATTTCCTTAAACACCAGAATCAAAGATCTTTGCTGTAGCTTGAGCTAAGAGTCCCTGTGTGTGTACCAGCGTGCATTTTCAATGGTCAGGCAGGAAGTTTTTAACTCTGTCTTAGCCTTCACTTGCCACTTACACAGAATCTCAGGGTCAATCTCAGCCATTACTTAGGGCCTCTCAAGTCTTCTGAGCACACACACAGCTCTGGACATGTACACAGCTCTTTATATGCACTGGCCTTTGAGGTTCCCAGGAATATGAAAGAGCTTTTCAAATCTCCCTATAAATATCTCATTCCCCAGCTTTCCCTTTTAAGGTTTTTTGGTTAGCTTTTTGTTTGTTTCAACTGTTATTACTACCTCAGGTAGCTGCATTGTGAAAACAT